ACGTTCATTTTGTCTTCGTGATTGTCTTTTTGTGGGATAGGCGGACTCGTAAATCTTATTATAAGCCGTATTTAAATTATTGAACTGTTCGTTGGCATCATTGGTATTGTTAAAAATTTCTGACCAACTTTCATCTGTAATTAAGTCTCTGAATTTTTGATTGTTGGTGTCGTTAAATCTACGTGTTTCAGTTTGAGATACATTTTGTGAGTTAGACGCAGAGCGGTAGCTGCTGGTTGGCGTGTTATCAAGATTTATTGTAGTGACTATTGCTAAGTGATCAGACATATCTGTCGTTAAGACGTTACAGCTTATTGTATCCTCAAGATTGTTTGTGTAGATGTGGTCAATAAGCGTGGCACTATGGTCCGTTAGGCGAGTTGGGCGTGATACAATTTGAATAAAACCGTAAGAGGACGCAATATCTATAATGTTCTGACATGCTTGGTCGCTGCTGTGCTTCAGTAAATCAAGGTTGAAATCTCCATGAAGCGTCATATGTTTACGGGTGTGTCTCCCTAGGTTGTGCAGCGTATTTTTGAAAATTTCTAGAAACGCTTCAGGTCTCCTAGCGGGAGAACGGTAAACATTGCCAATTATTTTCGTTCTGTTGTATCCTTTGCACTGATGGAGCTTGATAAATTGAAATTCGCCACTAGTATTAGTTGGTTCAGGGTTTGGAGTGAAAATATCAATTTTATCATAATCGACTACACGTTTGTGTACATAAGTGGCTAGCCCCCCACCTTTTCCAGATGGGCGAATTGGATCCTGGATAAATGGTTCATGAAATCCATCTAAGGTAACGTCGTTTATTCCGTTCGGTAATTTCCCTAAAGTGCAATTAGTTTCGTTAAAACACAATATATCATACTTATCATAAGTCTCAATATCATCACGTAGTTGATCTATATTCTTAATAAGGGATCTTATGTTCATAGAAAATGTTTTAAGTTGAGAGCAGGTAGATTTTTTCACGTTACGTTGTTGTTTATACTGACAACTAGTTAGGAAAGATGAAATATTGCTCCAAGTTGAATCTTGATGCTCTTCGTTGGTCATGGCGTCGCCAATAAGATTAAATCGACTATTCTGATCGTACGGATTAAATATGTCACTATTAAGTTTACTGTAGTCGTCATAGATTTCATAGTAGGTTGCGTGAAATCCAGGAATGATACTTTCACAGCAACTCGTACAGCCTAAATTATCCTTAAAACATTTGACATGGACATTACTTTGACACCATGAGCATGTGCGAATATTTCTAATAGAGTAACACCAGCCGCTGCAGCTTGAACATTTGATCTTGACTTTATTTTCAGATGTAACAGTGGGTTCCATTTATAACTAAATATTATGATTATGATACTGATAGTATATAAAACTATAGTTCAAATCAGATTCTTTCACGAGAACCGGAGGTCCTGTATGCTACAGAATCGTGATATGATTTAAAAGTAAATTATATTATTTTAAGCTAAAATCGGATAATTAAGTGAAATAAAGTGTCCTTATCTAGGGCCTTATCAGTATGATTTAAATAACTGATTTGGCTAAAAAATAGAAATCGAATAAAGTGGTTGCTTTTGTGTTGTGTAGTTTTGTGAGGTGTTATTTGTATTTGATTTGTTTGTAGCGTTTACGTAATAAGGGACTATCGCACTGAACTTGAGTAATACTGAAGAGAACGCACTTGATTATTTATAGATTTGTATGTGAATTTTGAATGTTGTATAGAGTTATGAAATCTCATTGATTTAGGATGATACAGATTTGTAGAGTAAGATGTTTTGTGTGCGATCGGGTGATAAGAGATACTGATAATGAATGAGCTTATCAGATAATGAGAAAAATTCCACCAATCAGATCATTTCATTATAATATGATCTATCTTGGTAACGATCTGTTAAAGGTGGACTGGAAGTTGAGAAAAAAGTGAATCGCATTTTTTAATCAGAATGGTATCAATGATTTGTAAAGCGCTCAGCTTCGGTTATATCTGGAGAGACTGTTAGGCTTGTGGTGATAGAGCCACTCACAGTTCCTGTGACGTCTCTGTTCAGATCCACATAACTTGCCAACGCAGTTAACAAGTTCATGTGCCACTACCCTTTGCACCTCGTGATATAAGTGGATGCCATGTCTGTCGTTGCGGTCCCATACGTAGTATGAGTTAGCACGCTTGATCACGGCATGGGCATCGAAAAAACTCAGATTTGGAATATCCTTAGCCAGGTTCAACATTATGATATTAAAAGCGTCAATCTCTGCATTCAACCAGTTAAATTTAGTCATAGATAAAGCACAAAACATAAACTCGGTATTCTTGTTATTGTTACAAGAGTCTATAAAACGGGGACAGAAATTGTCCGCAAGACTCCTGGCCGACTGCCCATACCTAGCTAGGTCATTAATGCCGCAGGAAAGTACGACTGCTTTAGAATGTTTGAACTCATGTTGATGTTCCAGTGAGTTCACTAGTTGATAGTTAAGGCGCTTTTGACATCGGTGGCCAGGTATCTGGTCGAACAGCCATTCTGGCGTTTCTCGGTGTATTGAGTCGTGAATTAAGAGGACTCTGGAGTGACGGGACGCTGGTGACTGTACCTGTGTAGGTGGTGCAACAGGCGGGACCCGAGTAGGGGCTGCAGGTGCTGGTAAGGCCGTGGGATCAGGCTGTTTCAACTTGCGAAGAGTGAGCGAGATTCGTGGCTGCCTTAACATAGGATCACGTTCAATGCCGTGCTGCCAGTGGTTCTGATCAGATCGAGACATTGCAAAGACAGAGCCGTGCTCAAGCGGGATGTTATGCTCAACGAAAGGGCCTGTCGACGTTGACATTCTCATAATTCTGGTAGAGCCAAATGATGCAGTGTAAATCAGACTATCTTCAACAATGCTGGATTCGCTGTCACTATGCAATGGAATACCAACTGACCCGTCCTTATAGTAAGTACAGAGGCAGGTATAGTTCGTGGGAGTAAAGTCAGGATCGGATTCATGCAAACAATCAAAAATGCGCTTTAGGACAGGTGGCAAGGGCTTATCATGGGTTGCACGGTGGTTGGTTCTGCCATAACTGTAAGGTACCGAGCCAAAATATGACTGAACTGTAGTATGAAGGATTATCTCTCGAATGATCAAGACTCCATAGGAAACTGACCCTCAGAAGTCAAGTAATGATCGTTTCTAAAAGCTTGGGTAAGCTAAAATTTCACGCAAAATTGTCTGTGCGCCAATAATTATGATACCCTGCTGTGTCTACCATTATTCCATACCTCGTACATACCTGCATTCTTCTGTACGGCTGAAAGTGTTACTTTTATCAATATTTAATACTGTGTCTCACTGTCTAGCAGGCGTAGTTCTCTCCAGTTTGTGTGGCTAGACAGAGAAAAAAGCAATATATTGCGAGGATATAACCGGAGTTAACTCTGCAAAATATATAGATTAGATTTGGGTACATTTTATATAGTAGATTCTCTGATATGGTATTGGAATTGATATAATCTCAAATCTGCCTACCTTGGGTCAAGTTCGACGATTGGCCTTTTAATCTTATAGTCATTGTAAGTTAACTGTACAAACTGCGTACGGGACCGGATCACAGCTCCTCTCTATTGAATTATTAACAGCATTGTGTATCTGCAATGACTAGTAGTATATAGGAAGTTAATGTAAGAATGTTTTCGAATGAACCTACTTTCTGTTTACAAATGAACTAATTTCTTATCAAAAGTTCCGTGTGGAACTTGACATAATACCAGAATATATCCACAGGTAAATCATTTGATTATTCACATCATGTAAAAGAGATTAGGAACACCGAGAAAAATTGTGGCCTGGAGATAGTTATAAATAGAATGTGGACGCAACTGTGGTCTACGTTTATAGTGTGGCTAGGCTGGTGGTGATGGATCCTCGTGAACAGTTTTATAATCTGCCCTACACTATGGGTGAACGCTTCTTTTTACAGCTAGGCGACACATTGTAAAAGTTTGTCACTTTGTAATAAGGTGGACCGATACTTCCGTGAGGTGTAAATTTATTGCCAAACCTTTCAACGAATATAGTGTCTGTTCCAAGAGAAACCCGCAAGTTCTGATTTACTCCCTGGCGGTGGTCAGCAGTGCGTGTTGCTGAAAGAAGAAGTCGCCTGAAACTTTAAAGATGCAAGCTATAAGCATGCCTTCCAACAAATAGTCAAGCAAAACTATATAATTATAGCATGCTAATGATTGAGATATGATTTGGTAACGATACCGAAAGAAACGCCACGAACAAAATATAAATCACGTGGCCTGGATTAACTAAAATTCGATGGTACTGTCATGTATTGTGGGAGAGGCGATGTTTTCTCAATATTCTTGGCCCGCCCCACACTTGCCCCATCTATATCTGACCGTTTTAGAGTTCACTGTATGTGTTTGGTATAGTTGGCTAAAGTCAGAATAGGTAGAATAATACCTCGATAATAGGCAAATTACAATATGGGGGCCGTGCCTCCAAAATCGAGAATGAATCCTCTGCGGTATCCTCCGACCTCAGCACCCTCTGGGAGGCCCTCGGAAATAAAATATTTTACGGAACGCGCGGCTGACAAATTTGTTGAGTAAGCCGCGCGTAAAAACTCCGTTGCCTTGGAGATCAAGAAATTCGATTAATTGAAGGGCGCTCTGGCTCATTTCAGCTGCATCTTTCTGTGTTTCGTTTGTGTAATTTAGGTTGTAGGTGGCCCGTTGCAAACAGACCGCTCTTGCCCGTCGCTGTCCTGACTAGTCAGACAAGATTTGGCTATCGTTTTGTCGTTTCTGTAAACATTTAAACGCCAGCCACTTAATGACCCAGCTGAGAGTCTGTACTCTGTATGTGGAGTCTCTGATAAAGCATTGTACACTGTGTTACACGTAGTAAAATTATTTAATATTTCATTAGATAAATGACTAACGGTCAGATAAATCTTTCGAATTCAAGAACTTAATACTGTATCGTTAAAGGGATGAGGTGATGCAAAGTGTCCCCAACAATAAGCAAAGGGGCTTCTACTCGGACATTTTGTCCAAAGAGGGGGCCCCTGATTTGAGCGTAAGTTGTTTAATATATTTTGCAATATTGAAGAAAATATCACTCATAAGAATTGGGGGCTGAATATGAGCAGTAAAATGGGTGTTGGTAATAGTAGCACTTATGTCTTATCAATTACAATACATAATAGTTAATACATATCCATCAGAGCATCAACCAAGGACCTGAAGTTGCACACAGCACTCTTTGGAATGTTACCAAAGAGAAACATCGTCCTAAAGCGTCCTCTTTCAAAATTCCCGATGATTTTGACGAGCAACTAGAGAAACAGATATATGGGCCGTCAACACAAATTGCCCAAAATACGGTAAGATCCTGAAACAGACTCATTCGTAAATTTATTGACTCATGAAATGCCGCGGTTATACAGTAAAATCATCAAACTCGCTATGAGAAGATTATGCTTTTAAAAAACCTCGTTTTTAAAATCTATCGTAGAAAATTATAAATCATGCCAAAAATAATCATCGTACCCTGCTGTTTATGCGGATTAAAGCACGATAATAAGAGACAAGTAATATATTGCAATTATGTTCCTATCTGAATCTCATTTCAGGATTACCCAATGTCATCCTGGGAGCCGAAAGTTCAGATGCCATATTACACTCCACCTGGTAATACGCCAAGAAAAGTTGCCATCGAGAGGTAAATTTATAGAGGGCGTGAAATGGAGTGTCCAAGCCCCAGCCGGGTGGTTTGAATCATTTTTATTGTCTCAAAATGGACTTTAATTTGTAAAGCAACACTAATAGTCCGTAGGACGGGCATACCGCTAGTAAATATAATAATGCTAGGTACTGTTCTCAAATGAAGCGATCGTCTGACTATATAACTCATGTCCATATCTAGCATATATTATTTCTCTATAATTATCCATAAAATTATCAGAATCTGTTTACAAGAAACATTATTCATCCAGATTGAGGCGGAAATTCGAGAGTTTAAACATAGAAAGTTTACTTCTTGATGCTGGAGTTGAAACAGATCAACTGATGCCAAAAGACGAGGTTTCTGCTAGGATAAACCTGCCGTCACCAGTCAACGCTTCTCTCACGTATGTACTATGCTTGCTTCATTATTTCGATGCATCATAAACTCATACATGCACATTGCACATTTGCATGGACCTCCAACAGCTTGAACCACTCGAGGAGAGCTAGTGCTTAATAAATAGTCTCGAAATTATCATTATTAATTCACATTTTATATCTAACAACCAACGCTTTCGCCAGCACGTCTAAAGATGACTTGGCAAGTCTCCAGGAATCACTCACAAAGAAAGTATCACAAAACCTTTCAAGGGAAAGGTTAATAATATTCACTATACCTCATTATCATTATGCACTATACTTCATTGTCATCGCCTCACTCCACCAATTTTCACTTAGATAAGAATTACGTCCCTCAATTGATACATCGTGATCACATTTTACAATAAACTAAATGAACGTCTGAAACAAATTTCCATCACCTTGCAGTGTTAAAAGTCAATCCAGTTCCCGTGCATCATCAGCTGCAAGTCTGAAAGAGGCAGGGATAAAGGTCGTGTGTCCTAATGGTGAGCGTAAAAACAAGGGTCTGTTTGACGGCAACTCTTTGTTAACGAACAGGAAATCAGCTCCAGTTAACCAGGGACCCCCTGCAGCTGGACCTCTTCATCAATACTTCCCCATATACCTTCCTCTCGAGGTAGGATCCAGTTATAAATCATTAATATGCACTAAAAATATCATGCTTTAATTTGTGTAAATTAAATTTTCTGAAATTGGTTGTTTGATCTCAATTTCCATCGGAAGATCTGAATGTACTGTTCACAGATATTCGACAATGAGGAGTACGACTGTCACACCCCAGACGAGTGGATAAGCAGGCTGTACGACGAGGATGGAAGTGCTAAAGCAGTACCCGGCAAAGCACTCCTCAAAACCCTGATAACCAGGGAGAATCAGAGCCAGATCGGTAGTTCAGCTACCGCTGCAAATGACCCTACTCCGTCTCCTCTTTTACCCATACCATCGTGGCAGTGGGTCGATGTAAGTATTTTAACTCGGTTATTAACATAGCATATTATGTGATGATCAAACTTGTATTTGTGAGTATAAAACCAAAGTTATATTTTTCGAAACAGTTTTACTCGAGTTCTAATGAATGACAATTACAGGTTGGTGTACTGGCGTATTCCCCGAGGACAAAACGATATTTAGTACAGCGAGCCAACATGGGTCTATCTTGGAGACATCCTGCTCCCAATGGAGGTCTAGCCAATTCATTGGACGGGACTCCGGCTAACACTGGTGACTGCAAGGATGGCAATAGGGTAAATTAATATCCTTATCAAAATTGAAAATTTGATTTTGATCTGATTTTGAATAGGTATATAATAAAGTATATGATAAATTTGATTATAATCTACCATTAATTCCACATTTTTGGCAGATTTATAATATTTTAACAAGATAATTTTCAGTATTGGGTGCCTCGCGTCCGACTTCTGTTCGCAGCTGAAAACCCATACCGTTTTACTCGACGTGTGGTAGAAGCTCACAAACTGAGACTCGATTCAGAGTCTGTTATTCGGTAAATATGGAATCGTAATACGAGCCAGCATTTTGCGGTATCTTGCAATATGATAGTCTAGTTGATTCCCTACCTATACTTACAAACAGACCAAACAAATACACATTTTATTTTCCACCATATTTCTGATGGAATAAAAGTATCTTACCAAATTAATTCCAGGTATCAGATGTATGTGGACTGTATGCACACCAAATCAGTTCCTGATATCGACAAACAGATGTTAGATAATATCACCAACCATGCTCTGGGAGCTTGCAAACTTGACGGCTCAAAGTAAGAATAATATCTGGGTATTCACAAGGATTCCGTAAATAAGTAGCTGCAACATTATCCTGATCTGAATGTTACCACTACCAGTATCGCAGTTATATTCTTTTCGGCCAGTATGGCAATTGGCAAATGCACAAAGTACAAACCCCTTCAAAAATTTAACGACGTGGTCTCAGGTTGAGTTGGTTGGTACAACGTCTCCGGAAGCAGATTTCTCTGGACTACCAGCGAGCACACAACAGGATTGCATTCGACAGCGTGGCCCACACCCTACCCGGCTCCTTTACTTATGTAACTATCCCTGACGTCCCTGAGATCTGTAAAAGTGCTGCTAGGATCGATATTCCCAAATATCCCTTCCACAGACAGTTTGACAGTTTCATCTTCAACTCTTTTCTAACCAGACCCGAGGCTATCATGTCCTTGGGGGATGTGCGCGCTGAGTGCAACAAAGTAAGTATAATTCAATTTGAGAAAAATTTTACCAGACAAAAATACGAATATGGTAATGTTTTCGTTTTTTCATAATGGGAGATTTTAATGTTCCGCATCTTAACTTAATTCTAATCAGGTATCGAGCAAGGATTTGTTCCAGACTCAGATCACGAAGTCCATGAGACTTGAAGAGTTTGAACAAACTCAGAATCAGAGCTGTATGCAAGTCCAGTCCTACCTCAAGGACACGTGGCTGACAACACTTTGTACCCGAGTCACTAGCTCGCTCAGAGATGTAGGAAAGGGCTGGTTCAACATAGAGGAGAATAAGTGGGAGGTTTACGAGATCTCTAAACTTCGCAAGTTCATGGAACTCGTCAAATTCGCCATGCAAGATTCTCTAAGGTAACTTTATATTGTTTTTATTACCTCTAGTTCAGTTATGTATCGTCCGATGGACCGCCGCGCTCTATATGTCAATATAATTAGCTGTCATTTTAACTTAAATGTTCCTTTATCAGATATCTAGTGGAACAATCGCTGGAAGAATTTGCCCACATTATCACAGACACAACTATATCGGTGATGGAACTCAAAGAGGGCATGGAATGGCCTCACAAGGGTAACCTTGCCGTGTCCCCCTACCAACCCCTCAAAAACCCCCTCTTTGTCATTGATCTGATCCTGGATCAGGAGGGTATCAGATACTCTACCCCACTGGAGAATTTCGAGTCGACCATTGTCAGCGTGTTTGACAGAGGAATATTCGTTACTCAGTCCATACCCCAACTTGAGAAGGTGTGTAAATTGAACTTTAATTGAAAACGCTTATTTCGAATAGAGCTAATGAATATTATTATAAAGATCTTGTTTGAAGGGAATAACTTTTCAGAAGTGTCTTTAGTATTAGCTTCAGCATTCTGCCTTTCATAAAACTTATCTGCCTGTCAATAAAGTTCCTAAAGTATTTCATTCTAGCAAAACTGATCAAAGGATCAAAATTACTCCGCAAAACAAAACAGAAAACTTCAATCAAAGCAATCACATGATAGCTAGTAAAATAGCTTTTTAAATCCAGGAATATTTCCTTTTCCACAGTTCCTCTATAATTCACATCTATCCTTGTATACCAGTACATCTTTATACCTCGTAAAACTAAGACTGGTAAAATAAGAGATAGGTTCACAGCAATTGTCATTGATTCAACGACGACCACTCTTCGTTCTATTCTACGATTCCACATCACTTGCCGTTGACATAAAAGCGAACACATAAGATATAACAGACATAGTACCATTGAAACCACTGGAACAGACAAAAGTATTATTTCTGTTGAGAGCAAAAGGACTGTTATCTTGTTCCTGCTTCCTTTCTTGAATACACAGCAATACATGTCCTTCTCGTCGGAGAAAAGCTCCATGTTTCCGTTTGATAGAAACACCAAATTCACAGAGGTTGTCGTGATAAAATAGATCAGACATACGATAATAACATACGTTAGTCTCAGTTTAACTCTCGATTCAGCCAGAGCTAATGTCCGGAAAGTAGTTGTGATACCTAATAATACCACAGTTAGTTTTTGTAACGGATGCCATGTCCATACCCAAAATTTACAAAACCAACTTATCTGATGATTGTTAAAAACCGCATCCACCATGGCAAGTGTAAGTGCGCTCAAGCAGATTAGAATGTTAACAGAACCAATTACTTGACTGAGAACCTTGAAGAGGAACCCGTGAGGAGATCTTGACTGACTGTGTCTCGCTGTAAACCAGAAAGCTAAAGTATTGGACACCACACCCCAAATACAGAACAATCCCAGTAGGATAGCAACAACGTAGCCGTTAGAAAGTGATGGGTAAATGTACCAGTGTTTCATCGTCATAAGTAGTGGAGTAGAGTCGTAGGTACAGAAGCTCAAGCATGCGGCAACGGCCAAGTCGTAAATTTGGCAAACGAACTGGAGACAGGCTAGGTAATGGAGATGGACAATGTGGATATTTGATAAACAATGTGGTTGTACCTCAATAATCAGTTACTCACATTACATATCCATGTAAAGTGTAAACCTTTTCTCGGTGTACTAACTGCCAAACTCTCTCTCTCTCTCTTTGATCATTTTACAATTACAGCAACTCACCAGCTGGCTACTGACCAGAAAGCTAACGTGCTCTTATAATGTCCACCTGTAAAACTGGAACAAAAGAACATTGTTCATTATTCATTAAGTAACAGGACTAGTAGACCGAATATCACATTATTACGTGTCAATATATAGAATTCAAGTCACGCCAGGAACTGCCATTATCTGAATATTCTGAACTTCTAAACTCATTTCCACGGCTCTTAACAATTTCAGAGGGTTATGAGCAAGCTGTTCTGGGCGGGATGTCCCATGCTGGAGAGTGTTGGAGCACACGAACCCCACGTGGAGATTCTGCGAAGCAAGATCCGTAAGGGCATCACCCAAGCTCTTATTCCCCTGAGGGCTTATCTGAAGCGGTACGAGAAGTTCAGACCTCTCGCCGAGCTCAACGTGGCGGATTATTTGAAGTAAGTTTTCATGTTTGCCACTCCTTTCTAATATCATTTGGCCCTAATAAGGGAAAAATAATAAAAACGTTTGCACACGGACTTATTATATGGGCCTCCCAGCTCCCTGTAGTTTACTTTAGTTTAAATATTTATGCTTACTTATCATGTGGCATATTCACATGATATATAATATATAATTCATTTATCATACAGTGGTATAATGAAAAGATCCGGAATGACTTCGGATAGTAGGTATTATGCACTCTCCATCGCGTCGTGATTTACTAACCTTGGCCTTTTTATGACACTACGAAAAAATTGTTCTATTTTCCTCAATTCTTACAGTTTCATGACTTAAGACCTATGCTAAGATCAATCAAAGACTTGAAATGTACTTGTGCCTCAATTCTTGATCAAAAATGGCATTTCTGCCAAATTTAAACCTTTCTACAGCAATTTACTTATACACCTTGGGTCAATAGGTCAAATACTGACCACCTCTGAAAAAGAGGTGACGAATCGATTTTGATTTTAAAATACTTTGTGTTCAAGTAAGCCTCAATTCAGCGAATAGTGGTAGTTAGCAGACTGGTCTTGCTTTCTCATGATACGTTCTTATTCTTAACTTATTCTACTGACTCATTGTACATAGCTTCTTTACAATCTACAAAACCATGTTCTAATCCCCACCATCTAGATCATATCTCACCCGCAGATCCATCATGGAGAAGGACATGTCAGCTTACGACGTGAAACGAGAGATTGAGATACACCAACAGGAGAAAGAGAGTCTAGAGGCGGATATACCTAGCTCTATTGTTATTGGGCCCTTCTGGATTAACTGTGACACGGTCAGGAATTTCCTTGTTAAGAAGAGGAGAGAGTTGGCTAAGGCTGTTTTGGAGTTACTGGCCAAGAAACTTAGGACACAGACTGAAGAGGTTTGGACATTGATTTATATTAGTTTTTTTTTTCTGCAAATCAGACTTTCTTTCTGATTAAGATAAGGTTACTGAAAGTAACTGTTACGATCAAAACACAAATATTTTAATACTCGATGCTTAATTTTTTGATATACTTTAAGGTTAATTTCTTCAGATCTGTGAAGAGTTCAAGGTGGTATCCCGGAAGCTTTTCGACAGACCAAACGCGATCGAGGATGCTGCTGAGATGCGAGAGTACATCCGGTCATTACCGGACACTATCACTCAGAACCAACAGAAGATCGATAAGGTCATGTCAGATTATGAGCTTCTAGAGGACTTCTATTACAACTTGTCCACTGATGATTTTAACGCAAAGTAAGACATGTTTATGTTGTTCGTTTTGGTCATTGCTGTGTTTAAACTATTGATGCATGGTAGCCCATAATTAATTATACAATATACATGTTGGCATGTATTACCCGCTTGTGTCTCTAGATTAGATGATAATTTATGTTTTTTTTTGGTTCAATGTCCAATCTTGTAATAGCAAATTTATGAACTTCTTTTTACAATCAGATGGACATGCTTCGCGTGGCCAGCAAAGATAGATGACCTGATCGATCGAACGAACGAGAATCTGACTCAAGACGAGGAGAGATTCTCTAAGATTCTGTCGTCTGACCAGGCCAACTTCGAGGATAAAATGGATTCTCTGCAGATGACTGTCGCAGGTAAATTTGACATTTATCTTTTAAAAAATTCAAAGTATTCAATTCTCGTGCCATGATATAATACGAATTATCCCAAAATTGAATTCATATTTTGTTCGCCAATTTTGTACTTGAATTGATCACAATCTTGATATCAGGTTTCTCGGGCCACTCGGACATCAACAAGGCTCTTGAGATAAGTCTGGATGTTAAGAGAATCAGTAACCAACTTAAAGAGTGCCAGACTTTGGCCCAACTTTACAACCAGCGAGAACGATTGTTTGGTACTCCTGTTACTCAGTATGACAAGGTATTTATTATTAAGACTTTAGTTTTCGTTTAATCATTTTAATTGTCAATATATTTTTAGATGAGCTGACCGAATATCTAACGCCTAATAACTACCAGTACGGATAGTTTAAGGGTTAGGGGAAACAGTACGGATTCGGTCAGTTAGGGATTCGGTCCGCTACCCAATTCTTATCACATGGTAATATCTCAGCGCAAGCGATAGAATAACCAGCAAAAATCTATAAGAAAAAGATAACACCAATGTAGAATGTAATAGGTATGATGTATCATTTTTATTCTGGACACTTTACAGCAATTAACAAATCAGCTTCCAGAGTTGATCAAACCCAAAATCACTGTCACGTATCGAGACAAATATACCTCCACACTCGTATCCAGGTCTTCTTGGTAATGTTAATATAGGTCTTCTTGGTCGTCCCATTAATGGCAGGGTGTAATTCTGATCGCTCTAGTTGTAATGATTAGTAGGAAGTTTGCTGTCGTATTATCATAGGAGTGGGTGCAAAACAAAGAACCAACTCAAAATTATAGTGAATCTATCCGGAGCTCTCTGCAGCGCTTTGTTTTTAGCTGAAAATACAAATTGTTGGTTTTTTAGTTAATACTGATTTCGGAAGTATGATTTGACGCTTTTATGTCGTGATCATCGAACATAATATTACGATTATAAGTATTTTACAATTACTCACAGATGCATATTGGAGATCCTCTCATCGGATCAGGAATTAACTCTCCATCATGGCACACAGCCGTTTCCCCGCCATTGTTGATGTTATAGGTATCAAAAGAACAAAACAGCTTCAACTCGGTGCCGTGATCTACCGGCAAGAGTGGGTCAGTCCTTACTTTCTTCGGTAGTGGCTCTGAACATTCGACTGAAAAGATGAACACTTTATGCTGTGGTCATTCTTGCTAATATTCCCAATACCATAATTCCAATAAATATTGATTTAAATTATTGGCCCGGCTATAACAAATTATGTGGTCAATACCACGACATTCTGGTGGTACTTCTCCCTCTGTCTGTACCAAACGACCATCTATACAGGTCGCTGTCTTCGCTCCGTTGTTCATTTGCCCGTTAGAGCAGGCCAAGTGGAGCTTCTGGCCGTGTTCTACTGGTAATCTGGGTGATGTGATCACGTGAACCCACTCACTATTAGGCACGTGACAGGCGGCTGAAAAGATTATTCTTGTTAACGGTTAAGACTAGGCAAGCAAGGCGAATAGTGAAGCTACTTGCATTTACGGATGCATCGATATTTAGTCTCGTATAAGTCTAAAGAATTAGCAGAAAATTACATTTACTTTAATGATCAGTACAAGAAAATTACAATGTATATTTCCCGGATCTAGAAATTCTAGATTAGATATCGGTCTGCCATATTATATAGCTGTGTCAACACGTCACCTACCTGTAATATACTACATAGAGTTAACAGTACCTACCTACAGAACAGCTATACGCTAAGTTGATGTGAAGTCCAGTTTCACTTCTAGTCCTAGTTTCATTTTCACCTCCAGTATCAGTTTCACCTCTAGTCCTAGTTTCACATTCATCTCTAGTTTCAGTTTCACCTCTAGTCCTAGCTTCACTTTCACCTCTATTCCTAGTTTTACTTTCACCTCTAGTCCTAGTTTCACTTTCATCTTTTATAATCCTAGAAATAGAGAGAGGACAAAGGGTGTCAAATGTGGAGGTAGAAATGTTGACCACACATTCAAGTTGGTTCTCGCAAACCTGCCTCACAATCTGAAAAAATGTTTGCTAATAGATATTGCTAATAGATTAGATTGGAATTGATTTAACTTGCCCACCCCCCCCCCCCCCCCCCCCCCCCCCCCCATTCCTCATTTCATGCATAGTTGGCAAACATCTGTGTATTACTTAAGCGAAGATAATATGATTTATCATATTAACCTGTGTAGAGTTGTCAGATTTGCAGCCAGTTACTTCAGCATTCAGTTCTGCAAGTGAATTTCTAATATACGATTTTATTCCCACTGCAAATGTTGCGGCACGAATTTTGATTTTTCCACTTTTACATACGATCTGTACAGACGAATCCTGGTGAACAACTTTATGTATGACACTGTTAACCGGCACCTCTGCTGTCGGTGTTGCAGTTAATACTGGCTCCACCACCCCAGCACTCCCTGCTGAAATCAATTTTACTTTAATAAGGGGTCATTTTATAAGGGGTCACCGGCAAATAAATTAGAAGACCCAGTTTCCACACAGTTAACCGATCAGCGCGCCCAGTCGACCAAACAACAACTCTTTCCAGGTCGTATGACAATATTTATTACAATTTCGCTAAAGCAGAACTGAATTTAGAATATTTTTGATAAGGTGATTTTAAGTGGGTGTAACCATGCAGAAATTCTTTTTTGAACTGGAAATATTGAAACTAATAAATTAGTTGTTACTCACTCCTGTAGTCCATGCAGCGTTCGCATGTGCAAAATTGTGCTGCAGGTTCACCTCCGCACCATCCCTCTGGACAGCAGCAGCTAAAACCATATGGGTCGTCAGGATTGCACTGAGCTGGATTACCGTTGGAAAGAGGAAAGTTGGTTCCACATCGCCCGTCTTCTCTCCACATTGCTGTAATTAAATCTTGAGATAAACACAAATTTTACTGGGTTTCACCACTTACGATTGAATTTCTCTACCATTGAATACAATGACCAATTTAACTGCATTTAAGCCATCTTCCTGTCGATAACAAGTAAATAATTGATAGAAAATTACATTGTGCGTAAATTTATCAATTTAATTTATCAATCGACTTAATTCAAATCCGTATATTAATTATTATGTATATTAATATATAGCAGCATCAGCTAAACTCACTCTGATTTGGAGCTGGACCTGGGTTGAAGAGCAATAGGTCGAGGAGAAAAAATGCGCTCTGTAAAACATCCACCATTGTGATACAGCAATGGGAGCAACCTCAAAATAATAACATTTTTTGTCCGATGAACCATCAAAAGAAAGGGACACTTTACTTTATCGTGACGAAAATCACAGCAATCTGATAGAGCATAATATATTTTTGTTTAAATATAAGAATAACCTTTTCTAGCCTTTCTAGTAGCTGCATCACTATACAGTAACCGTGGTTGGACAGAGCATTGTCAAGCCAACACTACATTTTCAATGGTTATTACAAGATCGCTACCACGGTGTCCTTCAATCAAATTAAGAAATATGAAGTTGGCACCTATAAGATAACTCAATCTCCCTCACAAACGATCCCAGCTAATTCCACAATATCGTCCACAGGTCAACAAACTCATTCGAGAGTTTGAACCTTACAAGAACTTGTGGACGACAACGGCTGACTGGCAGAAGTGTCACGAGTCCTGGATGAACGAGCCTCTCAACAAGATAGATCCTGAGTTTCTGGAGCAAAACATCTCGACCAGTTACAAGACAATGCACAAGTGTATCAAGGTGTTTAAAGATAACCCTGGCTGCCTGGCTGTTGCCCAAGAGATCAGGCACCAGTTGGAGGAGTTCAAACCTAAAGTTCCTCTCATACAGGGTCTTAGGAACCCTGGTATGAGGAACAGGCATTGGGAGAGTTTGTCTGATGATATCGGTACGTGCGACATTCCATTTTTGGTATAATTTGTTTTCTCCCTATCAAATATGACTGAACAGATATTCTTCAATTTGAAAGATTTGCAACTTTTCAAACAGCATATTTTAAATTTTCACCACAAACATTTGACAGGAATCGTAGTGAAACCGAAGTCGTCCCTGACGTTCAGCAAATGTCTTGATATGGGACTCATGGACCACGTGGACCAGATTGCCAAGATAGCCGAGGTTGCTGGAAAGGAGTTCGCTATTGAACAATGCCTGGAGAAGATGGAGAAAGACTGGGCGCCTGTTAACCTCGAGGTTGTTATTCAAATTTAACTTGTTTATTCAATTTTGCCGTTTATCTGATAAAAATTACGCTGAAAACTAATCTTTATAATGCTTAATAATACTTATGAAATATGGTCTAAGTAGGTTTTTCATACGGAGAATTTGTGCTACCATATAGAAGATTTCATTGAAGATTTCTATTTAAAGCTCGATCATGTTTCAAACAAAGGAAATGCCTATCTTATCATAAATAATTAACTGTAACTAAATGTTTCAGATCCTGGCCTACAAAGAGACAGGTACGTACATCATGAAGGCAGCGGAGGAGATTTCGCAGCTTCTTGACGATCACATCGTGATGACCCAATCCATGTCGTTCTCACCCTACAAGAAGCCGTTTGAGAACCGCATCATGAACTGGGAGAGCAAGTTGAGGATGACACAGGATGTGATGGAGGAGTGGGCTACCTGCCAGAGAGCCTGGCTGTATCTGGAGCCTATCTTCTCCTCTGAAGATATCAACCGGTATGTTAAGCAGTTATTTCTAACACTGAACATCGTAACCTTCTCTCTGCCAACATTTTATTTTATATGTAAGTATTTTGGAGTAAGCTGATAATGGTATGATATGGTGCACTGTGACCACTTTTTCCCCTTTTCAGACAACTGCCAGTTGAGAGCAAACGTTACCAAACAATGGACCGAATGTGGCGCAAGATGATGGCAATGGCTGCAAACAATCCCAACGTTATTACATTCTGTCCAGACGCTAGACTCCTTGAGAACTTCAGGGAATGTAACAAGCTTCTGGAACAAGTCCAGAAGGGTCTCAGTGAGTATCTGGAGACGAAGAGAGCTTCATTCCCCAGATTCTACTTCTTGTCTGATGATGAACTCCTCGAGATCCTGTCTCAAACCAAGGATCCAACTGCTGTACAACCTCATCTCAGAAAGTGCTTCGAAGCTATTGCCAAAGTATGTGATTATAATGAATTATTACATATTTACAAAACACGAAGTATAACATGAGAATAGGTGATATAATAAGGATTGAAAAACAACAAAATTTTGTTGCAGCATCGCTCAGAATCTAACAAATACTTGTCTCAGCTTACTTTCCAAGAAGATCTCAAGATCACAGCGATGCACAGTATGGACGGAGAAAGTGTTCCGTTCTCTGAAACTCTGTACCCAACTGGTAACGTAGAGGATTGGTTGCTGGAGGTGGAGCGGGTTATGAGGCAGAGCATCTTAGAGTCCGTCAAACTCTCTGTAGAGGATTATCCTAGGGTAAGGGATAGATTGTCTTCAAATACTGCTTCGATCTAATTAATTTAATTAATTGTTTGAAGATTCAACTTTCAACATGGCCTATTTATCTTGTACGCTCAGAACTAATGCTGATCCCTTAGAACAATCCTCAGACCGCTCGAACAGAATGGGTGTTGAACTGGCCAGGTCAAGTAGTAATCGCTGGGTGTCAGATCTTCTGGACCAAGGAGGTGACGGAAGCTATTGAGGGTAATGATCTCCCGGGGTACTATGACAAGCTAATGGACCAGCTGGCCGACTTAGTGAACCTTGTTCGAGGAAACTTGAGTGCTATTTGTAGAGCGGTTATGTCTGCCCTTATTGTGGTGGAGGTAAGACTAAATCATGTGACCTAAAATTAAATAAACAATTCTACTTACTCATTTGATTTGTTCTAATGATGGGGGGGTCCAACCCGATGTCCGATATGAGGGTTGATGAGGCCAAAATCGGAATCGGAAAAATCGGAAAAATCGGAAAATTGAGAAATTTTAGAGAATCGATCTCTAAAACCTCTCAGAAGTGAGGAAGTGATAAAAAACCCCTACATATGCTATATTGTTATGAGAAAACGAACTAATTAGACATTCCAATAGTATGTTTTATGTGTTTTTCCACTGCAGGGGCTAGTATGCTCACTACTAGTTGGAGTTGTTATGTACTCCCAGACCCGAGTGCTTTGGCCTCTTGACGTGAGATCGATTGTTTCTGCTCATTAATTTTATCCCTGTTACTTGTTATTATGTATTAGTACAACACTAGGGTTATATTTTGTGGTCCGGTCTTTAAACATACCATAATATCACTAGTACACTGCACCTTAAATGTATAGTCAAGTACATTTGTATCGTAACACATGCTTGGCTGGGGGATCATGTTTTGTGTCCGTTCGGTACCCTGTATTTTCAAAACGGACAAAAAGTAGGGCGGACAAAAACAGACAAAACATTTAGATGTCCTCCTCCTCCTCCTCCTAAGTCTTCCTCCTCCTGAGTCCTTCTCCTCCTCAGTCCTCTTCAGTCCTCTTCCTGACTCCTCGTCCTCGTCCTCGTCCTTCTCCTCAGTCCTCCTCACCCTCCTCCTCAATCCCCTTCTCCTCCTCAGTCCTACTCCCAGTCCTCCTCCTTCTCCTTCTCCTTCTCCTTCTCCTCCTCCTCATCCTCATTTCTCCTCCTGATCCTCCTTCTCCTCCCCATCAGTTCTCCTTAGTCCTCCTCATAGTCGTCCTCCTCCTCCTGAGTCCTTCTCATCCTCCTCCACCTCCTGAGTCCTCCTCCTGAGTCCTCATCCTCCTCCTCAGTCATCATCCTCTTCCTCCTGAGTCCTCCCCCAGTCCTCCTCCTCCTTCTCCTCCTCATCCTCCTCCTCCTTCTCCTCCTCATCAGTCCTCATCCTCTGTCCTCCTCATAATCGTCCTCGTCCTCATCCTCGTCCTTAGTCCTCCTCCTCCTTATCCTCCTCCTCAGTCCTCCCCCAGTCCTAATCCTCCTCCTTCTCCTCCTCCTCCTACTCCTCCTCATCCTTCTCCTCTTTCTTCTCCTCCTAATCATTCCTCCTCCTCAATCGTCCTCCGCCTCCTCCTCGTCCTTAGTCCTCGTCCTCTTCAGTATTCCTCCTCAGTCCTCCTCAGTCCTCATCCTCCTCATCCTCCTCCTCCTCCTCAGTCCTCCTCCTCATCCTCCTCCTCCTTCTCCTCTTCCTTCTCCTCCTAATCAGTCCTCCTCCTCAGTCGTCCTCCTCCTCTTCATTAGCCCTTGTCCTCATCCTCCTAGTCCTCGTCCTTAGTCCTCGTCCTCATCCTCCTCAGTCTTCCTCCTCAGTCCTCATCAGTCTCATCGTCCTCATCCTCCTCCCCAAGTCCTCCTCTTCCTCAGTCCTCCCCCAGTCCTCCTTCTCATCCTCCTCATCCTCTTCAGTCGTCATCTTGTTCCTCCTCAGTACTCCTCTTCCTCCTACTCGTCAGTCCTCCTCCTCCTCCTTCTCCTCAGTCCTCCTCCTCCGCAGTCCTTCTCCTCCTCGTCAGTCCTCCTCCTCGCCAGTCCTCCTTCTCCTTCTTCTCCTCCTACTCCTAAGTCCTCCTCCTCCTCCTCAGTCCTCCTCCTCCCTCTCATCCTTTTCCTCCTTCTCCTCCTTCTCCTCCTACTCCTAAGTCATCCTCCTGCTCCTCAGTCCTCCCCCAGTCCTCCTCCTCATCAGTCCTCTCCCAGTCCTCCTTCTCCTCCTCCTCATCCTCAGTCCTCCTCCTCATCATCCTCCTCAGTCCTCCTCCTCCTCAGTCCTCCCTAAGTCCTTCTCTTCCTCAGTCCTCCCTAGTCCTCCTTCTCCTCCTCCTCATCCTCAGTCCTCCTCCTCATCCTCAGTCCTCCTCCTCAGTCCTCCTCGTCCTTAGTCCTCCCCCAGTCCTCCTTCTCCTCATCCTCAGTCCTCCTCCTCAGTCCTCGTCCTTCTCCTTTTTAACAGTCCTCCTCCTCAGTCTTCCTCCTCGTCCTCGCTCTCGTCCTCCTCCTTCTCGTCTTCCTCCACACCAATCCTGCTCCTCTTCCTCAGTCCTCCCTCTCCTCTTCAGTCCTCCTCCTCCTCAGTCCTCCTCTTTCTCCTCAGTCTTCCTCCTTTTCCTCCTCCTCCTCATTTCTCTTCCTCATCCTCCTCCTCCTCCTTCTTCTCTTCCTTCTCCTCCTAATCAGTCCTCCTCCTAATCAGTCCTCCTCCTCAGTCGTCCTCCTCCTCGTCCTTAGTCCTCGTCCTCATCGTCCTTAGTCCTCGTCCTCATCCTCCTAGTCCTCGTCCTCATCCTCCTAGTGCTCGTCCTGGTCCTCCTCAGTCTTCCTCCTCTGTCCTCCTCAGTCCTCCTTCTCCTCAGTCCTCCTCCTCCTCTTCCTCATCAGTTTACACAATTTATTGTTACTAAAATGTTTTTAAACGCATTTGAGTCTGTAACATATTGACATGTTACTGTTACTGACTCAAAATGTGCCCGAGAATTTTTTTGTTTAACAGAGTTTTACTCTCCAGTACTATGGAAAAGTTGTTACATGATAAATAAAGATTTTGATAAATAAAGTGATTTTCATCCCTTTTAATGTTATTGAAAATTGTGTAGACTATTCTTTGTATCTAACTGAGGATTGGAAGTTTGAGAAAGGACCATAGTCATTAACCGTGCTACCCATTTCTGCAGATAGCCTGTTACAAATTGTGGAGACAATTTAAATCAAAAGTTACTAAAGCGTTCGCTATTTGTTACGATTGTTATTACCAACCGTACCTCTTTCAATTGTGGACCGGGGTGGATGTTCATGTCAAACAAGAGTTGGTACGACATTGTGTTGTTTTTCGGACGAAACGATTCTTGTTTAGAACAAGATACCATTTTGGGGTTCTGGGACCACCACCAATCGATTTCTTGTCATATCTAAGTACAGAAATAGCTACCTATATCGCCTAGAAACCTCAGAGGGAAGATTTAAATTTTCCCGATTTTTCCGATATGAGGGTTGATGAGGCCAAAATCGGGATCGGAATGATCGGAATTGATCGGGTTGGACCCCCCCCCCCCCCCCCCCCCCCCAATGATAAAACAGTTGATATTTGAGGGTTTAAGATATTTAATAACTACACCCCAGGTGCACGCACGTGACGTCACTGCAAACCTGATTGAAGTGGGAGTAAAGAATCTGAACGATTTCGAGTGGATCCAGCAGATGAGGTACTACTGGGACGAGGAGCTGTTGAGTAGAGTAGTGAACAGTGAGTTTAAGTACGGGTACGAGTACCTGGGTAACAGTGGTCGTCTCGTCATTACTCCTCTTACTGACAGGTTAGACCTAGCTTTAACGCTCTACGTTGGCAATTATTGCAATCTTTGTTAAGTATTTGTGAGAATCCTTGGATTTATTAAAGATAATACATGTTGCAAATTTGTAATTAAGAGTTTTACTTACACACTTTTTGTAATGATGAAAGCATCCATGATATGGCGTAGTTCATAGTTGGTGGTATAATGTACATATTATCTTGACATGTTGCACATTCCAGATGTTATCTGACGCTCTGTGGAGCACTTCACTTAAAGTTCGGAGGAGCACCTGCCGGTCCTGCTGGTACTGGAAAAACAGAAACTACCAAGGATCTTGCTAAAGCTCTGGCCTACCAGTGTGTTGTGTTCAACTGTTCTGATCAGCTTGATTTCATGGCTATGGGCAAGTTCTTCAAGGGATTGGCATCTGCTGGTGCCTGGGCATGTTTCGACGAGTTCAACAGAATTGACATTGAGGTGTTGTCAGTGGTGGCTCAACAGATAACAACCATTCAGAAAGCACAGATACAGAAGGTAATTGGGTTTCAAAAAGAGAATCAATTCAAAATAATACATTAATATAATGGTAGCTGAGATTATTGGCTAGTACTGTGGCAAATTATTGGTTCATCGAGCGAGGTCAGAGTAAGCCGATGTTAAAAGATCTTTCACTAATCTTTTATAATTAATCAAATCCATTTTCTTCCTGACAACGTTCCCTTTGCAGTTGGAGAGGTTCATGTTTGAGGGCGTGGAGATTGTGTTGAAAGCATCTTGTTCTGTGTTCATTACAATGAACCCTGGTTACGCTGGCAGAACTGAACTTCCTGACAATCTTAAGGTTTGACATTTGGCATTATGATTAAAGTACGAAACTTCATATAAGAAAACACAGTAATAATACTATATATTTAATTAGAAGATTCTGGAATTATGAAACTAACCATTTAAGACTAAGTAAAGTATGGGAAAATTAAAGGAATTATTCTCTCAGTTAGAAATATGATATTTTCTCAGGCTCTGTTCAGACCAGTCGCTATGATGGTGCCGGACTACGCTATGATTGCTGAAATTTCGCTGTTTTCCTTCGGGTTTTCAGATGCGAAGGTCCTTTCCAAGAAGATCACTAGTACCTTCAAGCTAAGCTCAGAACAGCTTTCTGCCCAGGTAAAAGATGAAGAAATATCAAACAGTTAAACCTTGACTTTCACCAGAGTTACCTGACTGTACTCAGTAATCTGACGCTTTTAACTTAACTTTACTCACAGGACCATTACGATTTTGGTATGAGAGCCGTGAAGACTGTGATCTCTGCCGCTGCTAATTTGAAGAGAGATCTCCAAGATACTTCAGAGGAGCTGATCTGTCTTCGTGCTATCAGGGACGTCAATGTTCCTAAATTCTTGCAGGATGATTTGAAACTCTTCAACGGCATCGTGTCCGATCTTTTCCCCAAGATCAAGTACGTTTTCCGACCAATTTATCATAGTGCAATCTACTATTTTATTTCCATTATTCGATGTAAAAAAATCTTAGGTCAATTTTAATAATAGCACAAAAACACCATTCAGAAACTAGGATTTAATCATTTGAATCATCTCAGACAAGAGGCGATCGATTATGGTGACCTCGATACCAGCATCAAGAAAACATGCGCAAAGAAGAATCTTCTAGCTGTGGATGGTTTCATGAACAAGTGTATTCAGCTTTACGAAACAACAGTGGTGCGGCATGGCCTCATGTTGGTTGGTCCCACCGGTTCTGGTAAAACCAGATGTTACGAGGTCCTCCAAGAGGCTATGACCGACATAAAAGGTTACAGTATAGGAGCGTACACGTTCGAGAAGGTGATCACGTACGTTCTGAACCCCAAGTCTATCACAATGGGTCAGCTGTACGGAGAGTTCGATGCCATGACTCACGAGTGGACTGATGGTATTCTGTCATCCCTTATCAGGCTCGGTAAGAAAATACAAACATAAAACTCGACAAGTTAGTCTATATTGATTGATGTAGTTTTGTTTTTTCTTGGCGAAACTTATTTGTGTGTCGCGTAATTATAATGAGCTACATAACTTTATAATTTATATATTATTCTCTTAATCAATGCTGCTGTTCCTCCGTAGGGTCCTCTAGCACTGAAACCACAAGACGTTGGTACGTGTTCGACGGTCCGGTCGATGCTGTGTGGATTGAGAACATGAACACTGTCCTAGATGACAACAAGAAACTCTGTCTCAGTTCTGGAGAGATTATCAAATTAACTGATGTTCGTCTACTTTAAATTTTTATTCCATCTTTATATGTATTATTTTTAAATTGTGAAAAATTGTCGTATCATAAAAACGACTAACGTTCAATAATAATAGTATGTAATTTGCTCAAAACCATTACGTAAAATACTCACCGCCCAAATATTGCAGTACATGACGATGATGTTTGAGGTAGCTGATCTAGCTGAAGCTTCTCCAGCTACTGTCAGCCGATGTGGTATGGTTTACTTGGAGCCTCAGATCCTCGGCCACACGCCTTTTGTCACCTGCTGGCTCAATACCCTACCTGAGATCATGAAACCGTACCGGGAACACCTACAAACTCTATTTGATACTTATCTTGAGGTATGATATTATCTCCTCTTATCTGAGGTGTGATAGATATTACATCCTGAGTCAACATTATTGACGTATGTTGGATAGTCTGTATCTGCAACCCTTGTATGGTTTTCAATTTTAATACTATCCCAGCAAACCATATAATCCATATGCTGTATATTTTATACAAAATCTGCCGTACAACTCGTACTGCATATATAAGCATACACCACTATTTCACAATGGTTGTAACCACAGGGAGCCCTCAAAGCATTGAGAAAGAACTGCAAAGAAATGTTAACCACGATGAACAGCAGTCTGATCGACAGTACTAACCGATACATGGAGTGTTTCTTTGCTCCTTTCACTAAAACAGAGGTATAACCAACTTTCACTAAGACAGAGGTGCAACTCTTATCTATCTTGACGAATGTATTTATGTCCTTTTAATTAATCGATAAAAAGAAGGCTATAATGATCGTACCAGTAAGTTCTAATAATAATTAGAACTTACTGATACAATCATTTTTACACAATACTCATGCTCACAACCAAGCGCGGTCGCCGATTGCAGGGTCCACAAATTCCTGAAGAGAAATCAGCCATGATCCCGATGTTGATCGAACCCTGGTTCATATTCTCTCTGACTTGGGCGATACCTGCTTGCTGTGACAGTGATGGCAGGAAGAACTTTAGTCTTTGGTTGAGGGGTGCAATGAAGGACGCTAACGTAAGACAACTTTAAGATACACTTGTTTAATATTTCAATCACCATATAAAAATGATGAATTTTTTGGAAAGTCCTTATCGGTTTAGGATGATCTCTAAATCATATCACTTTCAGGCTCAAATGCCGTATCCAGAAGCTGGTCAAGTATTCGACTACAAGCTGGACGATGGTGGAGCTAGCATATTTGATGATGACGAAGAGGAAATTAAGGACAGAAAGGTATTAAACTTTGATTTAGATCGATGAAACAACATTTTAATTGCAAATAACTGATCAGTAATAAATGCCATTAAATCGAAACAACTTAATATAATGGCCTCCTCACAATAATTGTTCTTCAAGATTTGCTGGGAAATGTGGACAAAGGAAATGCCAGAACTGAACATCACTCCCGAGAGCAAGTTCCAAGATATCATTGTTCCAACTATGGACACCATCCGTTCCGAATACTTGATAGAAATGCTGCTTGTCAATAAAAAACAGCTTATGTGTATCGGACCAACTGGTACTGGAAAGTCTCTGACGATTGCAAACAAGCTCAGTTTAGGAATGTCTGAGGAGTACATCTCTAACTTCCTCATGTTCTCTGCAAGGACTTCGGCCAATCAAACTCAGGTTTTTTGAAATCTATGTACCATAATTTCACTTTTTTGTACATGTCAAATTTTAAATATTTCCGCTGATATAGGTTAAAAACTTTAAATATTGTATCGATTAAATTGATGACAGTTAACAAGTTCAACAATAGCTATTGATATAATAAAGAGATCACATTAATTAAATATGCCTCATCTCTAGGACATTATAGATAGTAAGCTTGATAAGCGGAGGAAGGGAGTGTTTGGACCTCCACTCGGAAAAGAATTCGTCTTCTTTATCGATGATTTCAACATGCCCGCTCTTGAGGTATACGGAGCCCAGCCACCTATTGAGTTGATCAGACAATGGCTTGACCACAAAGGTTTGTGATTAAAAATGTCTACATTTAAATGATACATCAAGTTATAGCCTAATTATAGCACTTTGAATTCAAACGAATGCTTAACCTGGCGACTGATAAGTGATAGCTATAAACTAATCACCACCAATCTCTCAGGATGGTACGACAGAAAGGTGATCGGAGCCTTCAAAAACCTGGTTGATATAAACTTCCTTGTAGCACTAGGACCACCAGGTGGCGGCAGGAACCCTCTTACAAGTCGTATTGTTAGACATTTTAACCTTCTCACCTTCTGTAATCTTCAAGATGACAGCAAGGAGAGAATCTTTGGCACCATCCTGGCGAACCACTTGTCCTCAATGCCCGGAGGAGGAGCTGAATTTAGTGGAAACGTTTCGAAGGCCACCATCATGGTAAATTTTATGAAATATATTATAATATTAATAAACAACACAGCTGAATCTGTGATGGATCCAGATTCCTGCTTATACTTTGTTATTTAGATTAGCTATATTATGTACTAGATGAAAACCATTCATTGCCATGGTATGAGATTTATTATGAACAAAGACATCAGATATTGTTTCATTTCTAAACACAATTATAATCGCAGGTTTACAACACCATCTGCTCACAACTTCTGCCCACCCCAGCTAAATCTCACTATACCTTCAACTTACGAGATCTGGCCAAGGTATTCCAAGGTATGCTCATGCTGGATATGGGAAAATCCCGACCACAGTTTGAAATTCTTAGGCTTTGGTATCACGAGTGTAAGCGGGTCTTCGCTGATCGTTTGGTGAATGATCAGGACAGAACCTGGTTCGATGAACTTCTGAAAGAGCGCCTGGTCAAAGACTTTGACACGTCCTACGATGCAATTGCATCCGAAGACATGCTGGTTTACGGAGACTTCATGGTTCCCAACGCAGACCCAAGAATGTACGAACATATCGACAACGTCGAGAAGATGGTGCTCATTCTCCAGGAGTACCTGGAAGATTACAACGCTCTGAGTACTGCCCAGATGAAACTGGTGCTGTTCCTGGACGCTGTGAGTCACGTGACTCGTATTAGTAGAGTTATCAGGCAGCCTCTTGGCAACGCTCTCCTTCTTGGAGTTGGAGGTTCCGGAAGACAATCTCTGACTCGACTTGCTGCGCATATGGCAGAATACGACCTCTTCCAGGTAACATAAGTGCTCATTATGTTGTTTTATCGTCAAATCTAGATTCTAGAATATTCTTAAATTTGGATTATTCTAACATTTTATTTAACGTAAATCAGTTATTATGTTCCTGATTGCATTGTCTTTCAGATTGAGTTGAGTAAGAATTACGGAGTGTCCGAGTGGAGGGAGGATTTGAAAAACATGCTTCTCAAGGCTGGTCTTCAGAATAAGAGTATTGTTTTCCTCTTCTCTGATACACAGGTAATAATATATTTTAATATTGTTAGCTAAGTTAAAATCAAACAATTTCGTGTGGATCACAATCAATTTATTTAAACATTATCTATACTACTACTACAATCATAGAATAGGTTATCATCAATCTATCTCGTGGAATTGCTAATGTAATTACTGACCTAATAAAAATTCAAATTGATACATCCCTCATCTTCTCTTACTATTCTGAAGCATTGTCAATCGGCATGGTTGCAATCTGCCATAACTTCTTCATATGTTGCATCTTTTGTTTCTTTCGACCACAAAATGCCTCCAATCATTGAGAGTAGGGAGGCAATTACAAAACCAATGATAACATAGAGAGGGCTAAATGAGTAAAGGAAATAAACCAGAAAAGTACTGATCGCTCCAGCAGTTTTACCCCAGAAATTGATAACTCCCGTTGCTGTGTTTCTAATAACAGTTGGATAGATCTCGGGAATTATTATCCAGATTATGATGTTGAATGCGGAGGCGAAAAATTTAATAAAGAAGAACGATGCTTTGGTAAAATTTAGGTTAATGCACACGAGCAGACTCGCTGTAAAAAGGAAGCCTATGATACCAAATGCCTTTATCGGCCAGACCCGCCCTAGTTTCTTTGCTACAAGCAAGCCCAAGGTCACGGCAAATAGTCCTGCGGCGGAAATGAAAGTAAGATCAAGCAGTTCCCTTCGTGTTAGAGTTTTACAAGTCCGCTCGATGGACCCTGACCCAACACCACCACAGATATCTCTGGACACAGCGAATGGTAGATAAACTATGAGCCCAAATATCAGGAATATGTTTCCAGCATACATTATGGAGAGCAGTATTGTTTCTTTTCTGAACTGAGGTTTAAGGACGTCTGTTAAGGTACCACGTTCGTCGTTGAAAGTTTTTATCCTGAGGTTTTCTGGAAAGGGTTTGTTGTTCCAGTCAAAGTATATCCTGAGAGCATTTTTAGCTTTTTCCTCTTGTCCGCTGGCAACCAAATAACGAGGTGATTCAGGGACCATTGCTAGAATTACTATTGCAATCAAGATGGGCAAGTTGGCTACAATAATGAACACTCGCCAACCAAAAGTGTTCAGAAAAAGCACAGCCTCTATAGAAATGACTAGTAAAGATATGTTACCGATCAAAAGCAGCGAAAATACACCATATTCTTTGTATTTTGCGCAGGTGATTTCTGAGCTGAACACCAAAGCTGTTGGAAAGTTTGCACCAATGCAAAGGCCGACAGAGATTCTTGTAAATAAAAACATCCATTTGTTTATCGATGCGGCAGACAGGAAACTGCTGACCGCTAAAATGAAACCTGCTATCAGAATAGTTTTTCGTCTACCGATTTTATCCGACAGACTACCGAAGAGAACTCCTCCGATCGCGTAGAAAAAGAACACCGAGCAACCTATAGCGACCTCAAAAACTAAACTCAAATTCCATTCGCACCTCAAATACGGGATCAGAACTGCCAGTATAACGAGCTCAGATACATCAGAAAATGAAACAAACATAAGTGCAGTCCAGGTGTAGTACTGAGCTTTACCGAGTCCCAATTCCTCGTACACTTCTTCCAGATTCTTCTCCTCGCTTCTCTCTGCCTCATCATTTCCGTGTGTTGCCCCATAATTCACCACCTCATTTTCTGTTCCCTCATCCATCTTTTGTTTTCTACCGAGTAGATGATTAGTGAGTTAGTGGGTCAATTTTTGTCATTATGTGAAGGCTGGAGCGATTGCAATGTATCATTAAAAATGAAAACGGCAGTATTGGTCAACGGCTCGATGTTAAAGTTGTAAAATTTGAGAAACAAACTGTCTAGAAAAACAGAAATACATGTGCCATCGGTATAGTCAGTTTCAATTACAAACTAAGACAAAATATAAAATTATCAAACAATTTACACATAATATCAGCAATGGTCACTGCAGTTCAGCTACACCACAAACTACGTGTATTATTATGATCCCGATCCTATGTGGAAAGTTTGCTCCCTCAACAAAATAAAACAACGAACTCCATTATAAAGTATTGACTAGCCGACTAAAGCTGTAGTTACACCTCTACTCTGTTCCCACATGAAAAGTCTCCGTGGACGCGTACAATGTACATTGCACATAATGTAGAATATTATTACATTATGTGCAATGTACAATGTACAATGTACAATGTACATTGCACATAATGTAGAATATTGTTAAATCGGTTTATATATTATATTAGTGATTATGAGGAATACATAATATATAACTTTTTTTGCTGTTTATTATAATTAGAGCCCGAATAATATGATAATTTTTCTATTTCAGATAAAAGCAGAGTCCTTCCTCGAGGACATCAACAATATCCTTAACTCTGGAGATGTTCCCAACATATACGCCTTCGAAGATCTGGATAACATCTACACCGCCATGAAGCCTGTCGTGCTGGATTTAGGACAGCAGCCGACCAAAACAAACCTGTTCGGAGCGTACACAAAGCGAGTAAAGAACAACACTCACACTGTTATCTGTATGAGTCCTATTGGTGAAGTGTTCAGAGCCAGACTTCGTATGTTCCCAGCTCTCATTAACTGCTGTACTATAGATTGGTTCAGCGAGTGGCCTGACGAGGCTTTGCAGTCCGTCGCCAAAACATTCCTCAGCGAGATTCCTGGTTTGGAGGATGGACAAGTGGAAGGGATTATTGATGGGTTGGTAAATACCTGTGTGGTAATCCATCAGACTGTCACTAATGCGAGTAAACAGTACTTAATAGAGCAAGCAAGATACTCCTACGTCACACCCACCAGTTATCTAGAACTACTGGGTATCTTCTCCAAACTGATTAACTTGAAAAAGGAAGAGCTGGAAGCAGCAAGAAAAAGAACAAAAACTGGTTTGACAAAACTCCTCAACACTCAAGATGATGTGGCAAAAATGCAAGCTGAGTTGGAGACTATGAAGCCCATGCTGGAAGAAGCGACAAAGGACACGGAGGCAACAATGATACAGATAGACAAGGACAGTGTGGTAGCCGAACAAACAAGGGAGATGGTCCAGAAGGAGGAGTCTTCTGCAAGTATTATGGCAGAAGAATGTAAATCAATCGCTGATGATGCTCAGAGAGACCTCAACGAGGCACTCCCTGCCTTAGATGCGGCTCTAAAGAGTTTGAAGAGTCTCAACAAGAACGACGTGGTTGAGGTGAGAGCATTGCAGAGACCTCCAAACGGTGTCCGGATGGTAATTGAAGCTGTGTGTATCATGAAAGCTATCAAACCAAAGAAAGTGCCTCATCCTGACAAGGCTGGTGTAAAGATTGACGACTACTGGGAGCCTGGCAAAGCCATTCTCCAGGACCCGACCAAGTTCTTGGACAGTCTCTTCAAGTTTGACAAGGATAATATCTCTGATGACGTCATCAAGAAGATTCAGCCTTATATCGATTCCGAGGACTTCACTCCTCAAGCTATTCAGCGAGTGTCTAAAGCGTGTACCTCCATCTGTCAGTGGGCCAGAGCGATGCACAAGTACCACTTTGTGTCCAGGTCTGTGGCTCCTAAACGAGCTAGACTGAAGGAAGCACAAACACAACTCGATACCACCATGCAGATCTTAAGCGACGCAAAAGAAAGGCTGCAGGAAGTTGAGGACAGAGTCGCAACACTCCAAGCAAAGTACGATGAGTGCCTCAACAAGAAAGAGGAGCTAGAAAACAAGACGGATCTCTGCCAGGCGCGTTTGGGACGAGCTGGTCGACTTATCGGAGGGTTAGCTGACGAGAAGATCAGATGGGAGGAAACTATCGAAACTCTGACAAAACGTATTGGTAACGTTGTTGGAGATCTGATGCTCTCCGCTGGTTGCATTGCTTATCTTGGTATTTACTCTGGTGAATACAGGCAGTCCTTGCAGGACAAGTGGGAAGATTATCTTATTGAGATGGGAGTCCCACTAACTCCTCAGGTTAGTCTGGTGACTACCCTTGGAGACCCGGTCAAGATACGAGAATGGAATATTTACGGTCTCCCTCGTGACAACTTGTCTACTGAGAATGGTGTTATCGTGCAGTACTCCCAGAGGTGGCCTCTATTTATCGACCCACAAGGACAAGCTAACAAGTGGGTCAAGGTCATGGAACGTGATAATGGTATTGACGTCATAAAACTCACAAACAGGGACTTCTTGAGATCACTTGAAAATGCGGTCCGGTTTGGTAAGCCTTGCCTACTTGAGAATGTTGGCGAAGAGCTGGATCCTGCTTTAGAACCAATTTTACTGCAGCAAACATTCAAACAACAAGGTGGTATAGTGATCAAGTTGGGAGACACCATAATTCCTTACCATCCTGATTTCAAGCTGTACATCACCTCAAAATTGCCCAATCCTCATTACACACCCGAGGTTTCGACTAAAGTAACGATTGTCAACTTTACTTTATCACCGAGCGGTCTTGAAGACCAGCTGTTGGGTATCGTCGTGGCGGAGGAGAGGCCTGACTTGGAGGAAGCAAAGAACCAACTTATCGTGAGCAACGCCAAAATGAAGCAAGAGATCAAGGAGATTGAAGATAAGATATTGCACAGACTTTCTGCTTCAGAAGGCTCCCCTGTTGACGACATCAGTCTCATTGACACATTGGAGATATCGAAGGTGAAAGCAGAAGAGATTAAAGCGAAGGTGCTTATTGCCGAGCAAACAGAGAGAGATATTGACGAAACAAGATCGAGATATCTACCTGTTGCGGTCAGGACCCAGATCCTCTTCTTCTGTGTGGTCGATCTTGCTAAGGTCGACCCTATGTACCAGTATTCACTCGAATGGTACATCAAGATCTTCTTGAATGGTATTGCCAACGCTGAGACGTCTGACGATTTGAACGAACGAATCGTTAACATCAACGAATTCTTCACCTTCTCATTGTACGTTAACGTGTGCAGATCTGTATTCGAGAAAGACAAGCTTCTTTTCTCCTTCCTTCTGTGTGTTCGTATCCTCATGCACGAGAAAGACATCAATATGGACGACTGGAGATTCCTTATTGCTGGTGGAATGTTGCCTGAAAAGCTGATTGCTAACGCTGGCGAGGGATGGTTGTCTGACAGAAGTTGGACAGAGTTACAGGCTTTGAATTTGCTTGGTGCTTTTGTGGGAATCGCTGATACTTTTAAAGAGTATGAGGTTGCCTTTAGGGCCTACTTTGATAGCCCTGAGCCTGAAAGGTTAGTCTAAAATGTAACTTAAAACGTTTCTTGATTGATTATAATTTCATCTTCTTGATGTATCATAAAAAGGAATCGGATACGGAATAAAACTAGAGCTGGCGTACTGATCATAAATAAATATTTTCAGAGCTCCACTACCAGGAAAATGGGAACAGCTCACAAATTTCCAGAAACTTCTTATTCTGAAGTGCATACGTCCTGACAAGTTCACCAACGCCATGCAAGACTTTATCGCGAATAGCCTTGGTGAGCAGTTCATCGAGCCCCAGACCACTGATCTATCCCTGGTCTACAAGGATTCCTCCCCAACTACACCCCTCATTTTCGTGCTGTCCACTGGAACTGACCCTGCTGCTGATCTATACGCCTTCGCAGAGGTAAAATTCCGCGAGAACTATTCTAGTGTTAAACTTTTGTGGCTAAGAAAAAGTATAATTTTTTGTGACTCGAAGTCAAAATGTAAATTGCACTGCTGTTTAAAGTTATATTTCATGTACGTAAAAATGCCTTAATCTCTTCAGGAGATGAAGTTCTCTAAGAAGCTGACTGCTATCTCGCTGGGTCAAGGCCAGGGACCTCGAGCTGAGGCCATGATGAGATCTGCAATGGAGCGTGGAAGATGGGTATTCTTCCAGAACTGCCATCTTGCCCCATCCTGGATGTCCTCGCTGGAGCAGCTCACTGAGAATATTGACGCTGACAAGGTTCACAGAGATTTCAGGCTGTGGCTGACCAGTATGCCCACACCTAAGTTCCCTGTTGCGATCCTGCAGAACGGCAGCAAGATGACGGTGGAGCCCCCCAGAGGTGTGAAGGCTAATCTGCTGAAGAGTTACCAGCAGCACAATGATGAATTCCTCACTTCTTGCACTGGCAGAGTATGTCATAACGGATTTTTAATTATCTGGTTGTTGTTTTTTTGCTGTATATCGTAAATTGATAATTTGATACCACTTCAGTTACAATAGGAAAGTTTAATTTTTGATAGGTCACGAAAACTCCCATCTGAGCCAAGTTTACTTCATAATTGAAGCCAAATGTACAATTAATACAATTTTCCAGATATTCTAGAAATCAACCATCAGTATTTCATGTTTAACTATTTAACAGGACGTGGAATTCAAAGCTCTGCTCTTTTCGCTCTTCATGTTCAATGCTGTTATCTGTGAACGAAGGAAGTTTGGCTCGCTTGGTTTCAACATCCCATACGATTTCACCGCTGGAGACTGTAACATCTGCGTGTCTCAGCTCAACATGTTCCTCCAAGAATACGCCCCCCAAGTCCCTCTCAAGGTAACACATAAATCTTATAAACCTGAGGACATAAGTTATATAATTTATGATTTATCACCATCACGATCCATACTCTCCCGACTCCCATGAAATATGGATGCTATTTTGATTTACGAATTGCATAACAATCCAGCAAGCTTACAATTGTTTCCTCTACTTTAGGTGCTGCACTACACTGCTGGTGACATCAACTTCGGAGGCCGAGTTACTGATGACTGGGACAGGAGATGTATCAACACCATATTGTACGGGTTCTACAACAAGGAAGTTCTCACTGAGGGTCATAAGTTCTCCGAGTCTGGAACTTACAAACAAATTTCTCATGGTAAACTATTTTATACCTGCCAAATATAAAATATTTTATTAACAATGACCGTTGGATTACACTTGCGTTTCTCTGACTCCAGGAAATTCCAAACATACACAGTTGGAGTATTACGATTCAGAGAATTACATTCGGTATACAACCTAGGCCTAAACTCACTTATTTCAGAGGCCGTGTTCAAGGATTACATCAAGTCCATCAAGGCACTCCCTCTGAACGACAGTCCGGAACTGTTCGGGCTCCACGAGAACGCTAACATGACTTACGCTCAGAACGAAACATTTGCAATCCTCGACAAGTTCCTCCTTATGCAGGCCAAGACTGGCGGTGGAGGAGGAAAGTCTCAGGAAGAGGTGACTTTTTTGTTCAGATCGAAATTGTGGCAAAATGTTGATTTTATAGTTACTTCGATACACTTTATAGTTTAACGTCTAAGATGGCATATTTATCCTTTTGATGAAGAGAGATAAGATAATTATTATCTAAATGTTTCTATTCTGATTATGTTTGTAATTAACGATCCGATTTGTTTAACAGGTGATCGACGAGACGTCAAAACAGATTTTATCTAAGGTCCCTAAGCCGTTTGATATTGTAGATTTGATGGAGAGACACCCTGTAATGTATGAAGAGAGTATGAACACAGTCCTCCAACAAGAGGTTTGTTTGCTGATATTATTCAATATTCAGTCTCTGGATAATTCCAGTGAAAATATACAGTTTCAAAGACTTTTCTAATTTAAGGACTAAAATTGATACGGTTCTAAATTTCCCTGTGAATTAATGTTATCTCTAATCTGCTAGGTGATCCTGTACAACACTCTGCTGAGCCTGATACACCGCTCACTAGGCGACCTGCTTAAAGCCCTCAAGGGTTTAGTCGTCATGTCAGACCAGCTGGAGAGGATGTCGACCTCTGTCTTCAACAACTCCGTACCTGATATGTGGGCCAACAAAGCTTACCCCTCTCTCAAACCTTTGGGTTCATGGGTTGCTGATCTTCTTACGGTTTGTTAGCATGTCTTTATTCTTTATTTCTTATTTAAATGTACCGAATCCTTAATTTCTTACACTTGGTTACCATAGCTATACTAGCTATAGGTTTGTTTGTTTTTTTTTTTAAGAAACGGGCCCTTTCGCACTTTACAGGAGCAGTACATGCGCAATTACACTCACGTGTTACTCATTAGCAGTCTGTAGTAATAGTATGCATATTGTGCAATATGCTATCTCTGACTCTATATTATGTACTGCAATGTACTGGTTCTTAATTCTTTGTCTCTTTGTCTGTTTGAAGAGGGCCAAAACTACTTTACGGGTGTGACTACCTATTTATATATGTATATGCTTAAAAGGTATAGGTAGATGGTACTTGATACCGATGGAAACAACTAGTTAATTAATCCTGTCATCAGCAACTCGTTAAGTCTCAATTCTAGATTTGGGAATCATCGCCATTCTAATTCACGGAATTGTCGCCACGAAATAATTGTGAAAGGAATTGTGACATGTTTAATTTATAAGTAGATGTCAAAAGTGGCGATGATCATTTATTTTCTAGATTATCACGTCGTCTATAGTAGTCGGAACTATAAACTTACACATATATCTTCACCTTCAGAGGCTAGAATTCATCAAGGGTTGGAACAAGGACGGGATCCCAAATGTGTTCTGGATCTCAGGTTTCTTCTTCCCTCAAGCCTTCATCACCGGTGCTCTGCAGAACTACGCGCGGCTCACCAGTATCTCGATCGATACTATCGGATTTGAGTACAGGGTGGTACCTGTAACGGAGGAGATAAAGGAGAAACCCAAGACTGGGTGCTATGTGTCTGGGTTCTTTGTTGAGGGTGCAAGGTGGTGTAGTGAGACACATGTTCTTGCTGAGTCTAGACCAAAAGAGCTTTTCACTGGTTTGTATTTTTACTTGTAGCTTAATTTTATTAAAACTATGAACATAAAACAAAATATTACTCTACCAATAACCACGTTAAACTAGTGGATTGATGGCGTCTAGTATCCACAAAATAAATTACTAAGGCTAGCTATATACCGTTTGTTAACTTTACCCTGTGAAATTTTTACTTACAATTTACTATAATCGAGCATGAAAACATTTTAAGTTAGTAGACTACTAGTAGTCCTCCCTAGTTATAGTCCCTATAGCTATCAGTTTCATTTCCTCAAACAAAAAGATAAACTATCCCCACTCCTCAGATATGCCGACGATCCAACTGATCCCAGCAGCGGACAGAGAGCAACCCAGCAGCGGTATCTACATCTGCCCCGTCTACAAGACCCTGACTCGAGCAGGAACACTCTCCACTACTGGACACAGTACCAACTTTGTCATGCCCCTCGAGCTTCCATCTGATAAGCCTCCAGAGCACTGGATTAAGCGAGCTGTCGCTCTTATCTGTGCTCTAGACTATTAAAGTCTCGCATTTACGACTTTATTCGTTTGAGAAAAGACTTTGTAATACAGAGTTATAGAGACTTTACTATGATTTATATTATTTTTAATCCGTGTAAATATCACGCTGTAAATTATTGTAGATTCAGATAAAATGTACAATATTAGAAACAAAGTCATGTTCGTAGGTTAGCTACGTTTTAGATTTTTAACTGTGAAGAAATTAATATGGGTTGTAAACTTGTATATAATGATTTTATTCTGAGGTAGTAGGGATCTCGATTAGATAATTCCTACCACCCTCGGTATTATCACCCCGTTACAATCAGATTCAATCAAACTCTTGTCAGTATTCATCACAAACATTTCTCTCTATATACCAAGTTTCATTACAATTGTGAACGATATCTAGCTTTTCATTTCAAGATGTAGATAGATTTCTATGTACTTGTAGTAACAGTTTTGTAAAATTTTTAGAATAATTCATTTAAACTCCAAATTCTATGCGTATTACTTCTCCACGTCATCACGACCAACCCTCCTGTTGTCAGACGAAGAAAGTGCCTAAACGTAAATATTTACAATTTTGAAACGAAATTACTAAGATCCATCTTAACTCCAAAAACAAAGACATTATATTTAATGGAGAAAGCACTCCCTTCACTTGAAATGGCGCACAATTAATGTACCAGATGCCTTCTAGAGAAATAATCGCAATTTATTAACTTTTACATCTCATTGTTGGTGCCCAAGTTGCTCTGTAAGTGTAATAACACACTATCCTCGGTTCTTTTATGTTTTAACTAATTGGTTAAGCTCACATTTACAGGTTAGCAATAGCTGGGTGAAAAAATTTACTATACTCCATCGTAGCCAAATTATATCTGCGTACTATAAATTACGTACCGTAGAATGGGGGAACTTCGCCATGTTTTACAGCTATTTCATGTTATTTAGAAAATACGACACGAGTACTAATCTTCCCTGACAATACGAATGATCTGGTTATATTTACATGTCCGTAGTATAACTCCGTGTTACTGGGCGGCGCTCAGCCTGTCATTATGAACATTATAGCCTGGGGTCCCCAGATTAAACTCCGTGCCGGCTTCGAAATCATCATCCCTAAATTTCTTCGGAAATTTTTGGTCATATCAGTTAGATTTAAGCATTAAAGAGAAGTCACTGTGCTGCAGTAGATGCTAGCAAAGTGGGTACACTAATATTATAATGATCTTTGTATTATTTTATTATGCTATTCAGTTCATATCGGGAGGAAAATCAAAAACAGCGAGTGCTTTTCACAAAATTCGTACGCCCATTACATTTAATTTCATATTTTTGATGGCTGATAATTTGAAATTGAGTTTAATAGGCCTTTCCGCTTTTCCGAACAATAACCTTCGTACCTGCCGATGTGGCAGCTCTAAGTCTAATATACTTTTCTAGATTACAATATTTTTACCATTTAGAATTTTGAGCGCTTTCCGGCAAGAGACAATGCAGATGACTCATTAGACTCATCTGGAGAGCACAAAAACCCCCGGGAGCCCATAAAAACTCACCAGACTCTTTGAGTAGTCTACTAGTACTCCTATATCGGTATGTAATGTTGACAGGAAGGGAGAATGGTAAATATTGTACGCCGCATCTAAATTTCTAACTTATAAAAGTTTGCAGAATGAACAATGAAAGGACTGATCATTTTGCTTACCCTTCTATTGTCTAATTAATGTTACAACATAGCATAGTAATCGCGAATTTTTAAAATATTTCCGGTTATCGCTGCTCGTATGTCGTAAAACAATACCAAAAAGCATAATACCATACAGTGGTTATAAATGAGCTACAGGTACAACTCCTGCAATAACCTTGCTGATCCAATAACCTTGATGAACATTTTCAATATGAACCGTTGCAGTTTGTCGACCACACTATTACGACTGTATGGCCCCCTTCCATTTTGCACTACTTTAGTTGTGGCATATGGCCAATTTTTGCGTCCGCGGCGGCTTTTTCGTGCAACTCTACGTTTTCTGGTAACGAACTTTGAGGGGGAAATAAAACATTTTGCCGTCGATTCGGACAGTTTGTCTTCACGAAAAGTGAAAATTTGTCTGCCACAATTACGTAATTAGTAAAACGGTTCAAACTTCGCAACATAATTTCAATTTTCATAACATGTTTGTCAAATTATGGATTCTCAGTTTACACTGAAGACAATACAGAGTAAAGACCTGGTGATGGTTCTCGCTAATCTCCTACAAGCGCGGTTACAGTTTTAAATTCGATGTTGCTAGAAACTATTATGTTATAGATTGGGAGGAGGATCTTTGTATCGTAATAATGTAAATAAATCCGTTGAACTTACACTGTACTACAAACCTTATGTTGAGTAAGTCTAGATACGCGACCCGATGCTCTATAACCTTACCTCATGACGGACACGGAAGTCTGGGATTGGTGCAATTCAAACCCAGCAAAATGATTTGATTGGATGACATGTAGGCGGCGTATAGATAAATCACGTGACCGATGTGAGTCAGTAAAAAAGCTGCACGTGTCGTTTCCGTAGCAACATGATCGGTCGCTATGGAGACACGTGCTGAGGTGATGAGATGTCACGTGACACACGGAGCTAACCTCTGATAAATCGAAATGGCAAAGATGTGCGCGTTCTCGCAGCTCTGAGGTCACGTGACAGCGTTGTACTCGGTCACGTGACTCACGCTGGTCCAATAAGACGTGGGGAAGCGCATAAAGGAAGGAAAGATCGGAGCAGGCCCAGTCGCATCAGTGCTGTACTGCGAGCACGGCTTGATGATCTATTGTTCCTCTTTGCCATGGCTGGTGATGTCAAGCCTCCCCATTAACTCGATTATAAACTTTACACATCTTGACTCTTTGCTCTCACTGTACCTCCGCATTTGCATAATTCAAGGTCCTTTCAGCGTATGGCAGAACATTCTCGATGTATACTTTTAGTACATTGCACGCACATCTTTTGTTACACCTCCGCATTGCTCTGGGTCATTATTCAGATGTTATGAAATGTCACAGACTGAATTTGATATCCTATACGCTTATTCTCTGTGGACAACACCACGTGTCCAATACCTGGTGTCACGTGATGACTTCTAACCTTCCGTGTTAGTTTAACTACCCCAAACCACCAGGCATTGTCGTGTCAAACTCCCTCTCTCTCGCAAATTATACGTCACCTATATTATCTCACCACATTTCAAGTACCCATTTTGATGCATTAACTAGATAAGTTATACTTATAGCCGCGTATTCGAGATAATGTTTCAACTTTGCCAGTGTAGCCCCTTATATATTTATAATTAAGTCAAAATTAGAGATAACGAAAATGGTGTGACGCGCTACTATTTCATTTCATTAAAAGTAAGCTGCTTACTGGCTTTAAAAACTTGGGTACTTTGCATCCGTGTCACTGTTATCAGAAACCGCACAATTATGATTTAATAAGTAATCAAATAAGGTCATGATTTAAGTAAACCTGTTTGTCTAGATTGTGAAATGCTTTATGGCCCCCTGTCTTGATTGCTCAAGATGAGCTTACACAATACTCAGTGCCATTTTTAACACAAGTCAATTGCATTTCTCAAGTCTCCAAATTCATTGCTCGCTATAAGCATTCTACAGCGGTGACGTAACGTCCAGCGCTAATACATTTTAAAGTGCCATCCAATTTAGTGAACTTATCACAGGACATCGAATTGTTGACAGGAGTTGTCAGAATTGCTAAGAATTTGCTGGAATTTCTCTAGTCGTGTGACCCACGTGACCGCAGCTCCGGACTCACGTTGCCCTGTCACGCGACCTGTCTTCTGTTGCTAGCGTCCGGCTCTGTACGGCCTCCTGTCATTCTTCTACATAGCTCTCTAGAGGGCGTTGCTCGTCAGATTTTGCTAGGTTTTTCCTTCAGGCCGCTTTTCTTGGGTGAGGTCATAAAGCCAGCTTAAGTCATCCATCTGCCTGCCTACTTTTCAGTTCTCATTTGAGCATCATCATCAATCAGTTTTGTTCATAAAAGCCTTGTATACATGAGTTATTGAGTTGGACGGTTATTAGTTATTTGTTCTTGAGACCTGTCCGCGTATTATTTGCACCTGTCACTGCACAAGCAGTTGATTTCTTGAAAACAAGCCACCTAATTTTCCCAACTTTGAGATTCAAGTGTTATCTTACACCCGATAATACTTAATTTGTTTTATTAACAAATTTACATTTTTAGAAGTAACGTTACTCTCCTCTTCTCTTGTTACGAAACAATATGGTAAATACAAATTACACTTGATTTCTTCAATAATTACATTTAGATAAATGATTACGAAGATTAATTTCACATTTGTACAAGCACATTTTCTAGATCATAAAAATTGTTCCCTTTTCCTGGACGATGCTGAGACCGAGATTGCCTTGACCCAAAGCTGTAATATTACAAACTTTTCAGCGAGAAGTACTATCAATTCACGTTGGACAAGCTGGATGTCAGATCGGTAACGCCTGCTGGGAGCTCTACTGTCTGGAGCACGGTATCCAGCCGGATGGAACCATGCCTGGAGAGAAGACCGTTGGATCTGATAACGATTCTTTTAACACTTTCTTCAAGTGAGTTCATTGTCTTCATTGATAATAATCGGGAAGCCAGTGGGTTAACCAGTAGATAAGACATTAAAAGGGCAACAACGTGTCATGTATTTTTTCATAAAACGATATTTATCGCAGAGATAGCCATTCCCATTCTACCATGTTCAAGTAAGTGTGTAATTAGTGGGATCAGAGAGGTTAAGGGATTACAAGGAGGGATTAGTGGGTTCCTTATCCAATGAGACTTAGATACACTTTCATGAAACACAGGCTACCGTTATCCTGTAATATCGGCTTGTAAGTGGGTCTTGGGATCAAGTTTTAGTCCAATTGGCTTCCCTATTCTTATGAATCGAGAGAAGGAACCCACTTTAACCAAGTGTTAAAGGCATAGATGGGACGTGCGTTTTTTTTAATATAAAGTGCGTAGTTAGGTGCATGTTTGTTGCAGTGCGTTAAAGTGCGTTACTTTTTATTCTTTTTCGCCCTAATTGGCCTATCACAAATATACACATTTAGACAATCTGTTCAAGTTATTACACAGTACTCATGACTCAACACTTACAAAATGATCACATCACTCAATCTAATTGAATTCGAATGATCTTAAATTAATCACAAATAACTTTCCGTTCTTTTAAGTGCGTTTAATGCAAGTGTTTTTTAGTTCGAAGAGAGTGTTTAAGTGCCCACGTCCCATCTATGGAAAGGGATCGACTTTCTTTCTTATAAAATTCTGACACATTCTGTAAACTTGTTACTTTGTGTGCCTAACTCATTTAACTTCCCCAACTTCCGATTTATTGTAATCCTGGTCATTCGGAAGATTCGAATTCTAGAATAAAATTTAAAAATAGGGCATATCAAAACTTTTTGAAAAGACGTTTCAGCTAATCAGGGCCTCCTTTAAGGATACAACCTAACGTTTCAGGTTCTTTTAGATTAAGACTAACAATGTAAATTAGGTTCATAAAAACATTAGTCTCTTGATCCAGAATGAGGTCACATGAAGGCTAACGCTCATCACAGTTTAGACCATCATATAAACTCTATCGCTTTGCATGGAAACGTGGCTTAAATTAAGAATAAATAAGTAGAAGCAAACATAAAGGGGTGTTTCGGTTGACCAGGGTACGTTTCAGTGAGACAGGTTCTGGAAAGCACGTGCCTCGTGCCATTTTCCTCGACTTGGAGCCAACTGTTGTAGATGAAGTGAGGACTGGAATCTACAGACAGCTTTTCCACCCCGAACAGCTCATCACTGGCAAGGTATGTGCCTCTCTCACATTTGAGCCGTGCCCTTGGGTGTTACCAGTAAATTAAAACAATGACCGACTGATGTGAATGGCTTACATAATTAAAATTTCATATGGTTTCAACTGCTGCACCTGTTGACAGTCATTGCAATTTTAGGAAGATGCCGCCAACAACTACGCTCGTGGTCATTACACCGTGGGCAAGGAGATTGTTGACAAATGCCTGGACAGAATCAGGAAACTGGCTGACCAGTGCACCGGTCTCCAAGGATTCCTCGTCTTCCACTCCTTCGGTGGAGGTACCGGATCCGGATTCACTTCTCTTCTCATGGAGAGACTGAGCGTGGACTACGGCAAGAAGAGCAAACTTGAGTTCGATGTTTACCCTGCACCCCAGATTTCCACCGCTGTGGTTGAGCCCTACAACGCCATCCTGACCACTCACACCACCCTCGAGCACTCTGACTGTGCCTTCATGGTCGACAACGAAGCCATCTACGACATCTGCCGACGAAACCTGGACATCGAGCGACCTAGCTACACCAACCTTAACAGGCTGATCGGACAAGTTGTCTCCTCCATCACTGCTTCTCTCCGATTTGACGGTGCTCTGAATGTTGATCTCAACGAGTTCCAGGTAAGTTCTTATTTCTTTATTTATATTTATAATTAATCTACTAGATGCCAAATTAATCTTCCGACTAATTCTGCGGGGCTCACAGTCCCCCATTTGAATTACCGCAATTAGTCAGAAGCCATTGTTATCTTAAATTTAATGGAAAATTTAGGGCAGCAATTTATAAATTATTAGTATTACGTAGCGTAAAACAATGATACCATACTACAGCTAGTGAGCTCCTCTTGCTTAATACTTAGGTTACAAGGTCACATTGCCCTAATCCATATAGTTATCTCTGGTCTGACAATGGATGATAAGACCAAACCAAGCGAATTATCTTTGTAGGTAATCTGACCCAGATTTTGGCTATAACAATGCAGATAAAGTCACATGGCTTCTTGTAAAACGCCCTGTCGAACCGCACATTGTCTGACCATTCAGACTTTGCCAAGCATGTCACGTGATTTATCTGACCAATGAATTTGCCATATTTTTATCACGTGATGGCGTGATTACTGGTGATGAAAGGAGTAGCAGATGGTATTTTATGATATCATTCCCGGTAAACAACACCATGTCCTGTGTTGACATGTGTGTTCATGTCTCGTGATGGGATTCTTGTAATCGTAGAAGTGTTTACACTTGACAGTCAGTTGTACAGTGTAACATTGAGACATGGTGACTTAGTCGACAGACCGGCACCACCCAATATGATATAATTGATACTGAATCCTGATTCTACGTTCTCAAGCGAAGCATTCAAATATTTCTCATATTTTCGTCAGGGTAGCAAAAAGTATACTCATTCTCTAATTATTCAATCGATCACTATAAAATATTGATACCCCGATTAGATGTAGACAAGGAATTTTGGAATTTATTAGAGTACACATTATGAATCTTTTGACTTTTGAAATTTAATTTTCTCCAGACTTTGTTAAAACAAAAAAAGTCATAAACCTAACCCATAACCGCAAGAGATCCGTCCTGTAATTGTAAACTTTATTTCAGACTAACTTGGTGCCATACCCTCGAATCCACTTCCCTCTGGTTACCTACTCTCCTGTCATCTCTTCCGAGAAGGCATACCACGAGCAGCTGTCTGTCAACGAGATAACTGCCTCTTGCTTCGAGCCTTCCAACCAGGTAAATGCGAAGACCAGAAATTCAAATGTTAAGAAGTTATATATGACTATTTCTAGGAGCACATAAATAGCACAAATATTTTCCGTGGTCACGTGATATTTGTCGTGTGATCACGTGACTATCACTTGTTTATCAGATGTTCGAAACGTTTTGTCAGCCGGGTCTTTTAAATTGGGCGGAGGAATGTGTTGAAATTGCAGCAGAAATGGCCACAAGAATCTGTTGCTGAGTCTGAGCATGAGAGTCACAAACTGTGTCGTGCATTTGGGAACATATGCCGCCATAAGCTGTAATTAAATAATTAGTTTTAATGAACGCAATAAGCTCAACTTACAGAATGTTATTTTCAGATGGTGAAATGCGACCCCAGACACGGAAAATACATGTCTTGCTGCCTACTCTACCGTGGAGATGTTGTCCCCAAGGATGTCAACGCCGCCATTGCTACTATCAAGACCAAGAGAACCATCCAGTTCGTTGACTGGTGCCCTACTGGATTCAAGGTTGGCATCAACTACCAGCCACCAACCGTCGTACCCGGAGGTGATCTCTGCAAGGTACAGAGGGCTGTGTGCATGTTGTCCAACACCACCGCCATCGCTGAGGCCTGGGCTCGTCTTGACCACAAGTTCGATCTTATGTACGCCAAGAGAGCCTTCGTCCATTGGTACGTAGGAGAAGGTATGGAAGAGGGTGAGTTCTCTGAAGCTCGAGAGGATCTTGCTGCCCTTGAGAAGGATTACGAAGAGGTCGGTGCTGACAGTAACGAGGCACTTGATGAAGATGAAGATGATGAAGAGGATTACTAAACAGAAAACATGATGACACGAGATCCTGTCACGTGCCGCACGTGATGGTTGAACTCCGTTTATGGACCTCCGTTTGTGGACCTTCATAATGAACAATTCCAATGACTCTTATTCTTCTGAAGACTGCGCCGATCTAGCTATCTGCTATCACCTTGTCTTGCCCCTGCTAAAATGATCAATGAGTTTTTGTCTAGTAAATTTTATGTTGCAATATCTTTCTTAGAAAATTACATGAAATCGAAGTATAAGTAGTTTTATTTTTCCTAATTCCGTAAACCGGGAGACATTTTTTAAAGAAATAAGATTATCAAAAGGGCAAAATATTCTAGAAATTTAAATTTTTTATAATTCACGGTACGTGCGATAAAATCAAGTTTGCGTCAGATATTTATGATGCTTATATCATATATTGATGCTTGTTAGTCTTACTCTTACCGAAACCAACACGACGGTAACTTCTAATATAACAGTCTAAGTTGTGGAAATCTTCCAAGGCGGGGAAAACAATTCCAGCAGTTTCCACGGGATCCCGTTCAGCCCCTGCCCCTGCCCCTATTCGATCTCATCATGTCTAAAATTGACGCTCTGCATGTCGACACGTTGCATTTTCTTTTCGGGCCAGCTCATTAAAGATATATTTGTATCACGTCGTGACCCCCATTACTATTAGCGTTTCTACGATACAGAGGTAGCCGCGCACTCGTGCGCGGCGGGTCATACAACGTATGACAAATGACAAAGATATATGCAACGTTCGAGAAACACTAAAATTGGTCCATCCAAGTCTAATTTTAAGTTAGGGTTAATATAGGATTTAGGGTTAGAGTTAAGGTTAGGTTAATATATGAAGGGTTCCGGTTATGGGTTAGGCAATCAAAGCTTATAAACGGGTGTTATTTGAAGTGGGATAGATCAACATGGGATGGGCTCGCTATAGTGGGATGCACCCGCAATGTTCACGTTAACTAGACTTAATGCTTAAAGAGTTGTAATTGTAGCGCGATGCACTATACTGGGCCGGGCCGCGCATCCAATATAAATGCTTCTCGCAACCGATTCGGTAGATCGACGAGATGCACCACTAGCTGGGCCTCGCCGAGCTGCGAATGATATTGATTGACAATGTGAATCAACTTAAAGTTATTAAAGAGATATGCAAATTTAAGCAAGAAGCTCCCCTAATACCTAAAAAAACATTTTTTGCGCTCATATACCACTCAATCTGGGGACTTTGGTTTTTACTAATTCGCTCGCCCAAAAATTTCACATGTTTTTGTTATTTATGGTTTTAAGCATCTGTACAAAACGGTTTGAGTTTTACATAAACCTTACCTCAACCTGGGGCCGGGACCTCAGGCTATCAGATCATAATTTACCTGAGGACCCCAGGCTATTATGTTCATTAACATTAATATACCAAATATAGATTTGGCGGAATGACAGGCTGAGCGCGGCCCAGTAAATCATAATTAGGGGGTGCACCATAAAAATAAACTTGCTCGGATTTTAAAAATTTTTGTACCATTGTTTTCTAGAGACTGTGAGAATTTTCACAATACCAAATTTGTCATACCTTTTTGGAAAGATCAGAGAGTTTCGCCTAGGTGCCATATTTGATGGTGCGCGGCTTTTGGAGCAAAATTAGCTGTAAAAGTCGCGTAATTTGACCAAATTTGACCAAATTCGTTGATTTTTGTCGTATTATTTGGATATATCTTCAGTTCCTTGAATGAGATCATTCTGAAAATTGGCGACGACCTTCCAATAGGACTTTTACAACTGTCCGAAAAATGTGGTGGATATCGGAGTTGACGTAGTGATCAAAATGGGGCAAAATACGCTGCTTTTAGCTATAACATAATGTCTGATCACTGATGGTTGGATATGCTTTAAACTTTTCGGACACTTTCCTTGTAAGTCTATGAGTAAGCTTACCAATTTTTGTTGCAATCGGAGGTCGGGAAGGATACCTAATATCTATTTGTTTGAAGAAAATTGTGCTGGCCGAAATTAGCGCTAAAAAACCATCCTACAGTCGGCACGCGCGGCTCACTGTTGATGGCGCACTACCTATCATAATCATAAACATATGAGAGAAATGACAGGCTGAGCGCGGCCCAGTGATAACATAAACCTTGACCATTGTTTTCACATAGCCATGTGCCTACGCGTACTGCAAGCGAGAGGGCTCTGGTTAGAGCAAACCATTGTTAACGATCTGGCCCGGCGCGCGCTAATTCGTAGCTCGTGCCGTCGGGCACGAGAAGAAAGCGGCGCGCGCTACTTCGAAGAAATTTGTATCACGTGGTGACCCCCACGGTCGCTTCACTATAGTCTTCGACTATACAGGGGGAGCCGCGCACTTCGTGCGCGGCGGGTCATACAACGTATGACAAGAAGACATTTAGACCAGTAACATCCGTCAACATAAACCTTGTCATACGTTGTATGACCCGCCGCGCACGAGTGCGCGGCTCCCCCTGTATCGTAGAAACTCTATAGTGAAGCGACAGTGGGGGTCCAGGGAAGCATTTAATTACCCTACGTCAAGGGGGGTAAATGTAATTCGGAATCAGCGTCCAAAAATACACCGATTTAGATCAATCTCATACCCAAAGGGCCTTTTCACAAGAATTTTCTTAAAATTTGGGCGAGCGATTTAGTAGGAGCGGGGGACCCCAGCTATTGAATCGTATGACGCCCAAATTTTTTCATGGAAAGATAATAATGATCTGAGTTTCGTCTTAATGCATATTTAATGACTTGTCCGTTGTGCGCGGCGCTTTTTTAAAGCTTCCTGAGCTGGGTAACGTAGTCGTAACACCACTATAGGTTTATCCAGATCTGCCAAATTCCTAGGAGTGACCCTCGACAGCAAGCTCAATTTCAATGAACATATCACCAATACCACCAAAAAAGCTACGGCATCCCTTATGCATCCCTTGGGGTATGAGCCCCATAACATGCAAATGGATGTACACCGCTGTCATCAGTTCTATTCTATCATACTGCTGTAGTATATGGATTAGGGCTACCCAAACAGACACCAACGCGAGGAAGTCCAAACGAGTTCAGGCATTGGCATTACTGGGCCGCGCTCAGCCTGTCATTCCGCCAAATCTATATATATATATATGTTAATGAACATAATAGCCTGGGGTCCTCAGGTAAGCATTGGCATTGAGAATGATGTCTGGTGCCATGCCTAGTACTCCCTTCATCGCACTGAACCACCTCACTAACATTTCAGATATCATACTTTTCTTGAGAGGTGAAGCAGCAAAGGGCACTGCCAGGCTTCAAGCCTATGGTAGCTTAACCCTCGAAACTATCGCCCCCAGAAAAGGTACCATCACAACTCACACCACTATCAACAAACAATTCATGGTAGACCTCAACATACCACCCAAAGCAGAGAGACCTATTTATACCAACCATGATGCTTGAACGACGCTTCACGGTCACCACTCCTGGAGCTGACAACATTGAATATAGAGGCTCACTCTAAAACACCATCGACAACATCCCCGGTGAAACCATCACCTGCTACACAGACGGGTCACGCACAGACTCAGGTAGCGGGGCTGGTTATATTATCACCACTGACAACAACAACACTACACTATAGGAAAGATCATTCAAGCTTCCCGATTATTGTACCGTTTATCAAACAGAACTCACTGCCATCATCGAAGCTTGTAAATATCTCTCAACTTATACCAACACACACATCATCATATGGTCAGACAGTCTCTCCTCTATTCAAGCTATATCATCACCCTCAACGAGGAGTAGAACTACTATATAGACTGTTACGACACCCTCAATACACTCGGATCCACTAACACCTTAGAGATCAGATGGATAGCTGCACACATCAGATTGTGGGGTAATGAAAAAGCAGACGAGCTGGCCAAAAATGGCACAGCCAGTGAATCCACTTTGAATTGCCCAATTCCACAATCTTACATCAAACGCCTGCAGCCTGATCGACGACAAAGCCACCAAACTTAATCAAGAATCATGGATTACTGATGGTCCTAGACACACTAAACTGACACTTGGACACAAAAACATCAACATCATCAAAAATCTCAACACTACATTCAGTATTAGTAACAACAGACAAAATTACAGAACTGCAGTGCACCTCATCACGGGACATTGTGGCCTCAACAAATACCTACACACCATTCGCAAATCAGACACAAGTGCAAGTGCTTGTCCTAAATGCGGCGACGAAGAGGAGACTGTCTTACACTTTCTCGGACAGTGCCCGGCTATTGCTCAAATAAGAGGTGAATATTTTCGGGACTACTACCTCTCTGTCAATGACATATTCGACAACCAACACATCTCCACCATCGTCAACTTTGCAAACCACATTAAACGCTTAATGGTGCCAGAGGAGTTGGACCAGACCGGTGTAACAATAACATAGCGACTACTCAAACGCCGTCTTATGTCTTAGTTCGCGTCTCTCTTCCACACTCAACCACCATTTAAGCGTTCATCTATGACACACCCCACAACACTTACCAATACCATCATCCTTGATTACACATCATCATTCCACCGGCATCCTCCCACAGGACTGCCATACCCCAGAGGTAGGCAAAGCATCCATATGCTATCATGTATCAGTATCCTCTCGTAGGCCAACCAGGCCCAGCCTCTCTTAAAAAAATTGTTTTTAAAAAAAGCTTCCTGAGCTGAACTTGAGAGAAGCGAGCAATAGACTAGCAAGCTAGGTAAAACTAAAAGCAAGTTGAAGTACAAAGTAGTTATACTTATACACTTATAGTGTATTTAGGAGGTGCATGCGATTAAATTAAACTTTCTCGGATTGCCAAAATGTTTGTACCACTACCATCGTTTTCTAGACGATGGTAGTACTAGTAGTCTTTTCTGTGAGCTTTTTTGTCTCACGTTGTACTTCAACTTGTAGACCCGCCGCGCACGAATGCACGGCTGTATTATATGGTATGTATTATATGGTGTATCGTGACTTTTGCCCCGATACTACTACTAGTGAAACTGAAACGACAATGGAAGTCACAACGTGCAATATTAATACAAGTGTATTGCGCTTTTACTAATTCGCTCGACTTAAAATTATCACGTGACTTTGGTTTTCATGGTTTTGCGGCCAAACGGAACGGTTTTAGTTTTACACAAACCCTAAATCTAATCGGCTAATCCTGCAACCCTAACCCCCAAGCTATCCATTATATATAATCCATTATATATAATCCATTATATATTAACCCTAACCACAACTTGACACACGAAGCGCGCGGCGGCCTTTATCTCCGGTCAGCCGACGGGGGCGACCTAACCGGAGTGCACGCTTCGCGTGCACGAGAGGTGTACAATTACAACGTGTAGCAAACCACAACCCTAGGCCTAACCCTAACCAGAGCACTAGACAACATAATTCGTGTTTAACTAGCCTGTCACGTGACCAAAACAATTTTTGCCCATAACTCTCCATGGAAGCATTTTTACCCCACGTCATGGGGGTGATTCGGAATCAGCGTCCAAAAATACATTAATTTAGCTTAATTACCCTCAGGTAAAGGCCTTTTCACAAGATTTTTTTTAATTTGGGCGAGCGAATTAGTGGGAGCGCTAAAAGTGGCCCTACAAATTCATATGTCGCATGATTAAATGTACAGCAATTTATATTGTATTGTGCGATATAAAAGGGACCTTCACATATTATGTACCCACTAATTGGCCATTTTTAGACCCCATTAACATATAACATTATAACTGTAATGAAAAAAATGATATAAAACGTAATCGTTTCGGAGACCCCTCCCTTTTCTTCAGTGACGAAAGAAATATGTGAATGGCCCCTATACCATATACCAACATTCACTGTGAGAGGTAAACATTAATAATAAAACTGTGTTGAATTGGTAACATTTTATAATGAGATACAGCATTGTCGGGTAAAAATTTTAAAAACGGAAACAACCCCAACACTACTAGAGTATTCCTGAAGTTAACAGAACAGTATAAAAGTAAAACAGCGAGATCGTATATTCAACTAGTTACAGCGAGACTTGCTCAGATAACGACTGAAGCAGGCACACAACGTCTGAAAACGTAGGGTTCTTTTCAAAATTCAAATTCGATAAAGAGGATTAATTTATTAGGAAACCCTCCAATTAGGATTCGACTCACTTAGAGATGGACTTTGGATATTATCCACAATGTTAATTAATGAATAAAGAAAATGTGGTTGTTACGCCCGTTACATAAAAACATTTCGATTTTAGAGTTACCATGATTGAATGAAAGGACGTGCTGAGAATATCGATTAATAACAATTATAAAATAATCAAATGTTCATAATTTATTCAAGTTATCCATCAATTCATGCGGTCAAGAATTTGAAGGTAGTCAGTCAGCAAAAGATATTGCAATCAATTCCTAAAAGCTTTTTTAAGAGTGAAAAATATTAAGATTGTATAGGGCTAATGTGTGCCTATCGGTTGAAGCTGAGATAGTAGAACAAGAAGAAGCGGTAAAAGGAACATGATTGGTAAGCATTCAAGTTTGGGCTCTTTGGCTTATTCCAAAACAAATTGACTTCTGTCAACTTTGCATATTACGGATCATGGCCCCATTTATCTCTACAGTTCTTAATTAACAGATATATATTTTAATTTGTAATAATTTCCTAACTTTCTACTATTCGTTAACTACCGATGAACACACATACAGGTAATACACATATCAACATACGTCAAAGCAAGATAGTGTTTCTTAAAAACATGTCTTAATTGATTGCCCTTAATAACCGAAAATAATTACAATCAAACTGAGATTTATACAAAACTTGAAATAAATTAATTAAGAATTATAATATCTGAAATATCCTCTATTCCTGCACATTTTATTATTGCTATCGAGCCACGATAGATTAAATCGTCTGACACGACCATTTAGCCAACATCTTTTAAACTTGAAACAATATTTTACAGTCCGATTTGAGGTCCCTGAAATAGTGGTGCCAACATACGGCGGTATCTAGATACTATCTAGATACCGCCCAACATACACCCGCGTGCTACTTGTACCTCCAAACAACAGCACCAACATTCACCGCTGTAACCACCACAACAAACCCGACTAACAGGTGTAACCGGTTCACGTTCCACTGGCGAGCCTGCTCCGTGTACTGTTTCACTTCGTCCAGGAAACCGTTCTGGGAATATGTCAAGTTATTTCATGACAAAACGGTGACGTTAGTAAAATATAATATTATAATTTGTTTGACGAGAATGATACAGGGAGAAAAGTAATGCTTTGTGTAACCGTGCAGCCGAGAAAATATCAGCAGTAATCTAAAATCTGAATTCCGGGCTTATAATTCGTATTCAGAATAGTTTAGAGATCAAACCGAAAGAATGCCAGCAGTAGTCTGATCTCTGAATTGTGGTCTTTATGATTTTATATGAAAAAATCTAGAGATCATAACGAATAATGATCCCATGCCATGCTAACAGGACACTGTGAACGTCAGTAGTTTCTACTGATTTCTATCATTTAAATTTCGGCCATTAACAGGAAACTTACATTAATTTCTTTTGCAACTTTGAACCCTGCCTAACCAAGTTATAGCACGATTTGAAAACTCATTCTGAAATTGCGGTCTCGATCTAGGCCTCAGAATATTCAGGCATATTAGCCACTAATCCCGCACAGTACAGTAATAAACATAATTTTAAAGCAGTTATGTTGTTAGTAATACAACCAGCGTGAATAGCAGATTCAGACCATATTCCAACCATCTCGTAGCTTATAAAAGCGGGGAGTCATAGATATCAACCGAATTAACTAACACACAGTGCAGTAAAAATATCTATTTTACTCCGTTCCGGTAAGGCTCACCGAGGCTTATAAAATGCTGATACCTGTTCAGTTAGCAGATAAATGCTCACAGGAGAGGATCAGGAGATAAACTCAAATAATTAGCAAGCAGAGAAAATTGTTGGTAAGACTTACCCATCCTCCAATAGATTTAATCCAGGCGACCACGTAATCTTTAATGTACTTAATGATACTGGACATTATCTGTCGACATATGTCTTCTGCGTTTTCAATTCCGTTGTTGACGAGATGGCTTATGTACCTGAAAGATTAAGTTCAATATGGGGTAGTTAGCATATTACGTAATCACTGAGGGAGAGGGAGGGGTTTCTAAATGACTCCGCTAGTGTAATTTTATACACTAGTGTAAAATCGATTACGGAGGGAGAGGCCAATTTTTTAAATTCGCCGAAAAGCGATTACGTAATATATGAACCGTGACCGACCCCTATATCGGATAGATTGAGCACTGTCTCGTATTAAGAAAACGATAATTTCGTTCACTGCCTTAAATTTTCCTCGATTTTCTACTTTAGTAGAAGAGTTGTCTGAAGGGGAGTTCAGCTAATCAGCTAATCACATGAGCATGTTCGGATGTGAATTTGCAATTTAGAGGATCTAATTAGAGATGTTTGATGTGCGTTTCAATTTCATTGTCTTCGAATTATCGCTCGATACAATAATTTCACTGGCAAAGCGTCCTGATTCGATCTAACTAGAAGTTGGTAAAGTATACTGGTATGGCTGGCTGAGTATGTGAGCTGAGTGTATAAAATCTGATCGAATCACACAATCCGAAGCCATAATAAAATAAACGTACGTGAAATCGCAATAATCGCGTTGCGCGCCACGTTTTCGACTTGGCAAACTGTGCCAAAACGAAGGCCAAACAGTCAAATTTTAGTACAAACGATTATCGATGCTGTACTTGTCCAGGCATGCTACGAGACAAGCGTCACGATATCTCAATGACACAGACTTGTCGCTCTTACCATGGACCATGTATGCTCACTGATCAAGTCAGAGAGCTCGGGGCTCAGTGCTCTAACAAACGAGCTTGTAATGGAGTGGATGATGTCAGGGCTATATTGGTGGAGGTCTGCTAATTACGTGGCGTCTTTTAGACAAGTTCCAGTTACACGTGTGTACCTGGACGTTGTATTTAAACAAGGTGTATGATCTAAGTATATGTTGCATCCAGTGAACAGGGAGGAGCTGGTAAACTACTCAAATACGCAGACAAGAAGGGTGTCTGTGAGTTGCACTGCGATGTTTTAACACCCAATATCAGCTTGCGGGAGAACCGGTAGTAGTACTTCCCGTGCTCGTCACTCTGGCCTTGTTGTGGTGTTGCCTGGGTATTTAACACGACCTGACACGGGGTTTACTTTTGTTTTGAAACATGAGACAACTCGTGATAATGATGTTTGATGTCGAGTTCACAATCATATGATCAAACATAGATGCGTGCCAAAAACTCAGACTATGGTATGAATTGTTTTACCAAGGAACATTTTAAAGTACAGTTTTGGAGTTTACGTTTGGCCAAAACAATGTTTTAACACTTGACAGAACAGCTAGTTGTAAACAAGTTGGTAAAAGTTAACACGAGATATCAGCCAGAATGCATTCGAATGGCCTTGTTACTCGCACTAGAGTTTGCAATTACTCCTGAAAAATGTGATCACCATTCCTGTAGCTGTGCCAAAAATGTGTATGTATACAGTATAAGGGGTTCACACTTCACATATAACGTAATCAGCCGAAGGGGGAGGGGGGTTTTCAAATGATTACGCTAGTGTAATTTTGACACAATAGCTAACTGATTACGGAGGGGGGAGGGGGGGTTAAAAATTGTCCAAAAAGTGATTACGTAATAATATGTGAACGACCCCTAACAGTATAAAGAGTAATTATCTTGTAGGACCTATTTGCATATATATCTAGTATACGTTATTCTTCATAGTGGAGAGCGAGATTGTAATTGATGTAAAGTGTAGGCACAGTACTATAGTAGACCAGTAGATGTAACATATATGTAAAGTATATTTAAATTAGATGTTAAGTAGATGTAAAGTAGATTTAAAGTGTAGGGGCATGTAACTGAACAATTCCTTGCTCATACCAACACCTGACCTATAATTATCATCCATCAAATAACCACCCCATTTTTGCTCCCCCTATTGAATATATTAATTGAATATATTAATATTTAATATTTAATTGAATATATTAATTAACCTGAATCCAAATATGAGGAGAGACATAACGTGGCCAGCAGTAATGCCGTGTTGGAATACTCCCTGAATTATTCTGCGGAGATTGTCCATTCTACTAGCTGGCCTTCTTTCCAGGATCTCAATGTGATTATCTGAGGGAAATGTTTATCAAGTTCTTTTTACTGGTCCTTGTCAGTTTTATTATTTTGGTAAGCTGAACGTCATTTGTTATTTAAAAGTTTTTCAAATATATGTGAGGTAATCCAAAATCACAAAAACACCGGAAGATAGATAAAACGCTAAAATGTCCACCAAAAACAGATAAGACAATACAAAATGAGACACGTGACATATATAAAGTCACGTGACAGATATAAAGTCACGTGACAGATATAAAGTCACGTGACAGATATAAAGCCACGTGACAGCTATAAAGTCACGTGACATTACCGACCTGTTTCCTCTTGGTAGAAGTGCTGGTCCAGTTGTCGGGATATTTCAGCCAGCTGTCGGCCCACATCCGAGTTTGGGGGACTGCTACTGTCTTGTAGTTGCTGGTTTGGTGAGCGGGCCGTTAGATCCTGGGGGTCTTACACGATACAGTCTTACTTTATTTATATAAATATATACTGGCTTTAGTTACTGTTACTTATTACCTCTTACCGTCTAGAAAATCTTGTATAATTACGAGTAATAATTAGTAAGAATATTAGTAACGAGTAATAATTAGTAACGATATTTATAGGTATTGCTCTTTCTGAGGTCTTTTATAATGAGTTATGTTCCATTTTTTGTAAAGGTCAAAAAGAATCTATAAGATCTAGCATTGTTATTTTTTAACAACATGAAATCAAGTTTCATGATACACAAACTTAGAGATTATTTGTCTTCATTTCAGATTCGACCTATCCGTTCATACGAGCAAACAAATTAATAAGGGGCACACTCACATTGTCAAAGAATTTCCAAAAATTAGTAAGGGTTTCGACTTTCGATAAACACTACATTTGTGCTCTCCATCGTTAAATAAGAATCAACTTAACTAGCAGTCAGAGATTCGACAAACTAAACCAGGTTAAAATATTACCAGCTAATTACACACATTAACGCAATTATTATATAATTATGTGTGACTGTGAATTAGATTAGATTAACAACAAACCAACATGTATTGTAGCTCACCTGGCCCTGTCCTCTGAAGATCTGATCAACGACTGAGTTCCGCCTGCCCCTCTGCTGCGATCCTCTTATTCGCCTAAATAGAAACATTGTAATACAGGGAGGATATTATAATGGTGATTGGTGATGAGTGTAAAAGTGCAAACGAACAATTCTAATACATATTCGAATACAGTGGACGACAGAAAACTTCCTAAAATTACATTGTAAAGGGTTTATTTATTCCCTTGGCTCGGAACATTGCTGCTTAAAAACTTACAGCACAACCATTATTATCTTAACTATGGTTTGTAAGGTTCAGAATGATGATAACTCACTCTACGCTCATCTCACTACATTGTCACCTGACTAACTTTGATAAACACGTTTTACAAGAGGCTCTGACAAAGGTAAGGTAAGAATGGTTCTGCAGTAATTTTTTAGCAACACTGTTTTGAAACAAAGAAATTTACTTTATAGGATGGTACAAACTGATGAAAACAGTTAAAAATAAATTTGCTGACAGGACAGGACAGGACAGGACAGGACAGGACAGGACCTCCATTAAATTAACCTTTAGCTAGGAATAATTACTCAACGACTGCACTGGAAAGGTTGGTATTGCTTAAAAAAGATAAAACTTAGGTCATCAGTATAAGTACACTGTAATCGTTTTCTAATAACATTTTTTCATACTAGGAAAATTCGATAAACAGATAAATGATGACCTTTGGGGACTTTTATTGCCAAGCTTATCCTAAATGTAGAGTAGGTATTTGGGTCACAAGACCCGTGACCCAAATACCTACAGTACGGGTGCACGCTACATGGCTATCATAAAAATATCTCTTACACCGTCTCACCAGCATTTTTAAACCTGCCACCTGCCGTTAGACAGATACCTTCAAATGTTGGCGAGTATTCAGGTATTCAACAAACTATATTTGTTTACTACCTGAATACTATATTATTATAAATTTTCAGATTGGAAACTTACTCTTGTTCGATCATGAAGGTCCTGATGATGTTGTCCACTCCCCCGTCATCACCGGTACTACTCGATTGTTCAGTTTCCGTCATCACAGGCGGCGATGCCATATTTAGTTCTAATGTGGACGGTGAACATTTAGTTCAACATTAATTTACAATTAGTATGAAATATCTTTAATTTTTACAAAGGTTACCCCTAGTAAGGAATGCTATCTTATTCTAGCCCATATGTTACAATATCATAGTCAATTATATCAATTATGTACTAGTAAAATTACGTATTTTCAACATCTAAGGAGTTTCAATTTTAAACATTAAATGGCAGGTCGCCAATATTTCAACATTGCCCGGAATCCGGATAGGGCAGGTATCCAATAAAAACTTGTATGCCTAAGTTTAACTGTTAATTAAGATATATCATTAGAACAGCACATTTGATCATGTGGCATGCAAAAAATCCAACTTCCTGTAGTCACATATTATTAAAAAATAACATAAACTTAAAGATTAAAATGTTTTTAAAAAGTTTTAGAACTCGAAATTACACAGAACTTGGCCAAGTTATAAACCAAAAGATGCTAACAAAATTAACATACCAGTGTTAAAGTATCCTTCGCATTATCACAAGGCAAACTTATAGATTCGTTGCTGGCGATTAGATGATCAATAAATTCGATATAAAAACTGAACTAAAATGAGCATTTACCCAATTTAGTTCAAAAGTCTATTGAAATATTTCCCTTGCTGCTTGCGACCCCTTTTGAAATCTTTACGGCCTTCCAATCTGAACTCTAGTGCGAAAATATGGATCACCTCATCAATATCTGTATTCAAATCAATTATTACAATTATCTAACGTCAGTAATAATGCTAAACAATACAATTTAATAAACAATTAGCGGGAAGTTGAGTACCAAGGAGCAGGAGAAATATAAAACTTTTCTGAATACTCATTCAACACAGTCATGCAATGTTAAATCCTCCAAGGAGGGACAACAGTGAATAACATGTCAGATACCAACATGATACTTATTAAATTTAAATTATACAAGTTAAAATAACTTAATTATTGAAGGGCATAGTTTTAGGACGGGAATGCAACCAGTCCCATTTGCATGGTAATATGAGCTTCAAGAGTCTGAATGTTGTCTACAGGCAAGTCGTACCTACTAACGAATAGTTGACAGGCTTTCTTGATGCATTCGCTCTGAAATTATAATGCGTGCGTGTTACTTTTGGCCCCAAAGGTTTTGCTCTATTACGGGTAAACCTAGGATGCTGCAGATTCAACTCTGTACATTCAGACCGTCTGTGCGTGGTGAAGAGCCACATCCTGCTCGAGGTGGGGCTGCATGCAACTTCAGTGATGGAGTTGTAACTGAACACAGCGGATCTAGGGGTGCACCCCCGAAAAAAAGCCGGGCATCCTCAGAACAAGCTCGTGATGATGGTGATTTGGGTTAATGAAGATGTAACAGATTCCGGAACTATGGGAGCACCATCTGTCATCTTTCCGTTTTATTTACTGTATGTGGGAACATCTACTGATGAAGTAGCTATCAAGAGAGCCATTCCAGTGGCGCAGGTGGCTCACGTGTCACATAGCCAACAGAAAAGAAACATGATGAATAGTTCTTACAGCACTAGGGTATCAGCCCCTACTTTTGTTTCTGGACGTGAAGGTGGTAATGATTTCACCAACTTAAATCCGAATGGAAGGTTGGTGAATGATGAGCCTAATCAACCTGAAACACCCAACATAAACGAAAACAACAAAAAAAGTTTATTTTCATGTACCGACATTACCTGGGTAGGCACTCTTAACACTAGAACGATAAGAACTGCTCAGAGGAAACTGGAGATGGTACATCTTTTCGAGAAGAGTGGAGCAGAGATTGTAGGTATCCAAGAGCACAGGATAGTCCATGAAGAGCCTGTCAAAGTAGAGAGAGTTGGCAAGAGCAGCTATCTAATTACTTCATCAGCTACTAGGAATCGGGCCCAGGCAGCAGTGGGCGGAGTGGGATTCATCCTAACTAGCAAGGCATTTGACGCAACTACGGAGATAGCACCAGTAACGGAGAGAATCCTTAAGATATCTCTAAATGGTAATCCTAAACCAACCTTCGTCTGTGTCTACGGACCTACGGAGGCAGATAGTGTAGAAGCAGCAGAGAAGTTTCATACCGATCTAAGGTGTGCAGTCTCACAGATCCCTGCTCACAACTTCTTGGAGGTGATCGGGGATTTTAACGCTCACCTATCAAAGAGGGACGAGAATGACTTTGGTTGGTATTTCCATGAGAGAACCAACAGAAATGGGGAGCTGCTTCGGGATACTGCCCTGGAATGTAATCTGGAGATTACAAACACCAGGTTCAGAAAGAAGCGGGGTAAGATGTGGACTCACCTATCGGATGGAACCCTGAATAAGTCTCAGTTAGACTTTATTCTAGTGAGGAAGAAGTGGAGGAACAGTGTCAAAAATACTGAAGTCTACAGCTTCTTTAGTACACTGGGTACTGATCATAGACTTGTTTTGTCTAAGATCAAGCTATCTCTTCGACGAGCAAAAAAGCAACCCAAGAAAACCTGGTATAATTGGGGAGCACTTAAATCGGATGAAGACCTACAGAAGAGATATGCAGTAGAAGTCAAGAATCGGTACTCTGCTTTATGCGAGCAAACCGATGAAAGTGAGGTTACGGAACTGTATGGGCATTTTGTTGATGCGATTGCTGATACCAACAAAGCCATACTGCCTAAGAGAGAAAAGAAGAGACGTGACGATTTCGCGGGTGATCAGCGAGTTCAAAGCGTGCGTACAGCCTTGCAGCAAGCAGAGACTGTCTATCACCGGGATCCTAGTGAAGACAGTCGACTGTCTGTTAAGCTACTAAAAACTGAACTGGATCAGGTGTACCAGGACATCTTTGAAGAAGATCTAGTTGCCAAGGTTAGAAGGGTCGAAATGGCTGCAGACAGATGCAAAAACAAAGAAAGTTGGAATGTCATAAATGAGATAACTGGCAGGAAGGCCAAGGGGGCAACTCAAATAAGGGGCAACGGAGCCGAAGAAAGGAAGAAAAATTGGCTTGGGCATTTCACGAATCTGTTAGGGAGTATACCGGATGTGGAAAACGAGCATCCTAGGATCGAGACTCAGTTTGAAGGACTCAACATCAGTACAGAACCTTTTACTGTGGATGAGCTTAAAGCTGCTAAACACAGGATAAAAGAAGGTAAAGCACCAGGTGATGACGGCATACCACCTGAAGTCCTCAAAAGATGCGACCTGGATGAAATCGTGCTGTCCTTCTGCAACAAAGCCCTGACAGATGGTATTGCGCCAGATCAGTGGAGGATAAGTAACATCATCCCGGTTCCCAAAAAGGGAGACTTGACCAACCCTGGAAACTGGAGGGGGATATCTTTGACTTCTCTCGTAGCTAAGACTCTCAATAGAATGGTGCTTAATAGGATCCAGCCGGCTATAGAGGGGGTACTTAGGGACACTCAGAATGGTTTTCGGGAAGGACGGTCCACTACTAGTCACATCTTGGCACTCAGAAGGATTCTAGAGGGGGCTAGACAGAGAAATTTACCGGTAGCTATGGTGTTTGTTGATTTTAAGAAGGCCTTTGATTCACTTCACCGGGGAATTTTGATGCAAATACTAAAGGCCTATGGAATACCGGACAGTATTGTAGATATCATTAATCTTCTCTATGTCAACACGAAGGGCAAAGTTATAACACCAGATGGGGATACCGAGCTATTTGATATCCTGGCAGGAGTTCTTCAAGGGGATACATTAGCACCATACTTGTTCATTATAGCCCTTGACTATTGCATGAGACAAGCCTTAAGCAAGCATCCTGAAATAGGATTTACCATTAAGCCTTATCGGAGTAGGAGAGTCAAGGCGGAGAAGATAACAGACACTGGTTTTGCAGATGACATTGCTCTGATAGCAGATACTGTAAAGGAGGCAGAGATGCTGATGCTAGAGGTAGAAAGAGTTGCTGCTACAGTGGGACTTAAAATGAATGAAGGGAAAACCAAATTCATTTCTCAGAACATCGAGAACCCTGATACCATCAAGTCCCTGGGTAACAACACAATAGAGCACGTGGAAGACTTTACCTATCTTGGTTCTAGAATCAGAGACAGTGAGAGTGATATCAGGGTTAGGAAAGGAAGAGCATGGGGAGCATGCCACACTCTCAAAAAACTTTGGAAATCTAACCTTAGAAAGTCTATCAAGACCAGAGTGTTCACAGCACTAGTCGAGTCGGTGCTTCTATACGGTTCTGAGACTTGGACTATGACGAAAAGGCTGGAGAAGATGGTTGATGGTTGCTATACACGAATGTTAAGAATGGCCCTTAACATCAATCAATATCGAGACCATGTCAGCAACCACAGTCTGTACGGTGATCTTCCTAAAGTCAGCTCCAAGATAACCCAACGAAGGCTCAGACTTGCAGGTCATGCTCATCGACATCCGGAGCTGACACTGAACAAACTGATCCTCTGGAAGCCGAGTCATGGGCATACTAACAGGGGGCGACCTTACCTAACACTACTAGATAACCTAAAAGCAGATACTGGGCTGAAATCAGTAGATGAGATAGCTAGACTGATGGAGGACAGAAAGCTGTGGAGAACTGTTGTCAATGGATCTCGGGAATACTACCCGCCTTAAGTCAAGTAAGTCAAGCGTGTTACTCACAGATTATTCATTTGTGAGCAGTAAATAAATATCTTACATACTTTTGGGCGGTTTTATATATTTTCAGAGAAAAAACAGTATAAAGCATTACACGTTGCTCTGTTTGTGAACAGAGCATTGCTTGCACCCGTCTAAGGAACATATGGATTATGGGACGGACTTGTAAATATCCAGGAAAGAGGGCAGGGGCCGAAGTTTTAGGAGAAAAAGTTTTACCTGCAGTAGGGTTGTTGGATAATGGATATTCATACCAAGACACTGCCGCAAATTTGAATTATGGAATTAAGATAATTGAAATATTGTTGGATTCAATTAATTATCATCATTTAATCGAATAAGTTGATTGGTCGTGCAATGTGGTCATTTACAAATTGTTTCCAAAATTTATATAAAATTCGTTTCTTTTGATCCATTTTGCCATGATTATTGATTATCAATCATAATATTGATTAGCTATTATCTATGATAAATATCTAAGTGAATATTGAATCAGCAATGTACAAATTCAAAATGACAAGAGTCGCAACAATTACTATGAGTATATAAGTTTATTATTCGAGAATTTATTATAATGAGGAATTATGGGGATTCAGAGAAATCCAAGAGGGAGGGGGCTGGATTAAGGTGAATGTGCAGAATGATAAATAAGGGAAATCTCACACCAGGTATGGTGCGAATTCAATGAATAGTTTACCAAGTACAGACAATATTGCTAAAACACATTTTTACACTTGCATGGATGTACTTTAAACATTTTATACAATACTCACTTCTCTAATTTTAATTGGAGCATATTTGTTGGGCCCGTACTCTACCTCCATCTTGAACACTGTTTTACCCAAGTAGCGAGGGGGGGTAATCTGAACCTTATTATAATAATATTAATTAGACATTAACGAATATGAGCTATACTAAAATTGAATTCAAGTAAGGAGCCAATAAAGGTTTAAAATCGTTGTGTAAATCAATTGCAATCTAAAAGTCCAGGATAGTATGAACATTTAAATATTATATTATTTACAATTTACAATCCAATGAGGATTTGAAAAACAAAATTCAATATACCTTTCTTTGTGATGGTGGAATGTAATTTTGTTGAGTGGGCACCTTTTCTCGCTTTTTCCGACGTTCTTCTCTCTTTTTTTTCTCCTCAATCCTTAATTTGTCTTCATATTCTTCCACTTTTTTCTCCCGTACAGCCTAAGAAAAGTATTTGTGCAACTGATAGTGATACTGTTTTCTCACTTGTTGTCATACATTACATGGGAGGCAATGATATCTCTTGATAACAACAAAGTAAGTAAGCAATACTATTTTTATGATTTCAGAAAATGTTGGTTAGGTCATACCTTCAGATCTTCAACCTCCAGTTGATAACTTTTTCTGTCAAATTGATTGTTGATTATTTCCTGCATGAATCCATGGGACTGATCAATGCCAATTTTAGTCGTCATCGAGGCTTCTACAGTGCGATATTTATAACTAATTGAAATTAAGTTAAATACTAAACATTATTAATAATAATAATAAAAATGAAAATGTGACATCATCAACATTTCATGAAAAGCAAATTGTTTTAGAGCCTGAAATAAGAGGGGGGGGGGGGGGGGGGGACAACTGCCCCCGTAAATTATATTGAAGCAGGGCAGCATTTTCCCAAATTTAGGATTTTTCAAACAAAAAATATCTGTTTTGTACACTATCCCTTCCAATTGAACGTTTGATCAGCACACAAAATATTTGGGGGTATAAAAAGCTGTAGGCAGTATTCAAGAATTGAAGCCCGGTCCATGCACCACTCCACACACCAGTCTGCGAACTACTTTTGACATAATAGTATGAATGGTACGCAATTAGTTATGACTAGTATTAATTGTAACATGATAAGATGCTGAATGGAACTAACAATTAGAATTGATATGTGCTGCGGTCTTTAAGTCATTCGATTTCTGTGGAGTGTTATCAATTACCATTATCATTAACAACAACAACAACTATTCCAATTACTGACAATTGACATGGGACTGTCTGCTAGACAAAATCCATGGACCCACAGCCTAGGTAGAGACTTCTTAATTCTTTTTAATGTGCTAAAATTAAATTTTTTGTTTCATTGAGAAAAACCTTCTAATGTGCATGATGTGAACCGATCTGGTAAGATGATTTGATAGACTAACAAGCTTGTCACTTGAAATTTGAGTGCGATGATGTGGACCCTGTCAAGGCTGGTCGTAGTCCACGGACTGGGTGGTCTTCTTGGATATTGACATTTTAAAAAGAGTCCTGGGGCATTTAAAAACTTAACAGTGGGAGGGACGTAAGTAAGTCACACCACTGCTTAAAATAAGCATTTCATCAAAAGAAAAACGAAGAAGGGACTCAGACCTCAGTCCACGGGTTATAACACATCTATTCAGGCTTAGTGATTCAGTCTCAACGAGAAATTACCCAATATAGTCAGTAAATTTGTCAATGATATCGAAGTGTTTTGTTGTAAATAATAATAATAATTCTATACAGTTACATAATTGAAACAATTATGGCCCCTTATTGTGGGCAGAGTATGTGCCTTTATTGAATTGTCCTGATATAAACTTATCTGAGTGACTGCATTAAAATAATTTAAGGTGAGTTCTCTTAAAACTTTAAGACAATAGGAATAAATACTAAGACCTAATAAAATCAAAACAAAATGCAGCCATCTAATTTGTTGTTGAGCTTTCTCTTCTCCTACGGTTGACTAAAGGAACCATCTTTTGTTGTAAAACCTATCTGGGTGACTGCATAAAAATTATTTAAGAAAATGGAATCATAATAGAACAGTATATAATATACAATAAATTGTTAAGTCAAGTGATGCAATAGGCAGAGTACAATATACAGAGGTAACAGAAATTGTCCAGGCACTTGGGTCCTTATCCTTGTCACTAGTCCCAATTGGATTCACTTTACACAAAACATGAACGTTTACAATTTAGACGTACACATTGGCACGATATTTATTAGAAAGCAAACAGTATAAAATAATACGTGCGTGCGCGGCTTGAGCCGCGCCGCATAACAATTTATGCGTTTAGGGGCTGGAGTACGCGTGTTTACAGATTAATGAATTGTTGCATTGTAAATATTTAAAGTTGACGATATATTATGATTTAATAGTAAATTTTTCAAAGCTGGCTTTGGACTTAGGTAAAATTATAATTTATTTATTTAAAAGAAAAAACCACGGATAGTTTTAAATTTACATAGTCGTATAACTATAATCAAGTTAATCCTGTTTTCAAGAATGCGCGGCTTTGGCGGCCAGTTATTGACTTTTACATAAAATTGAATTTTATATAGAAATGTGAATGTATTAAAATTTAAAACTTTCAAAACGGAGGCTTATAAATATTATTATATTATGATTGTAAAATAAAGGATAAAATTTTAAATTTGTTTCACTAAATTTGTTTCACTGTCCACTGCTACCAATATTATAGGAAATGTCAACAATCAATTAATATTATATACATATCTAGTCCATCATAGGGGCGGGGTGAGGTTGTAGGAGACTTCTGACAAAGATGTCTCGTATTTTTTGTCCATGGCGAAGGATTTAAGAAAATTACTAGCAAAACAAAAATTATAGAAAAAATTAAAACAATCTTGAAACTTTATTATTAAGGCGATAGAGATAAATAAAATATACCAGTCATAAGAACAGAACATGCCAACTAATAATATAAATAAATAATAATATAAATAAATATAAATATTGCCTGTTGTCGAGTTCATGTAATATGTTTGTCCAGACATATATAATATGTGTTCATTTATCTTTTAAAAAAACTGTTTTTGGCGATTCAAGATTGCAGATTCCAGATTCCATATTGCTATCATGTATGAAAAAGTGCTTATGATGAGTTGTGAAGTGACAAAACCTAGTTCTATTCAGCAGTGGCAAGCAATGTATTTCAATAATAATAAAAATCCGGCAAACAAAATAAATTTTGAAATTGTAAATAAGTTAGTTTTTGTAGGTTTACAACCTACCAGGACGCGCGCCGATTTGGACTCGTCGACGGTCAAATACATGGAACAGATATTTTACGAGTATCACCCGTTAAGTTCGTTTCAGTTTTGAGTTTAAAAATTGTTATTGAATTTTATTATACAAAATTTTTACATAGGGTTATTGTTATACAATTGTTTCATTTAATAACTTCAGTTTGCGTTCCATTTTTATGCGCGCGGCGCTACCAAAATCTCAAAAATCGGAAACTCTTTTATAAACATATTTTGTAGCTAAAATTGTAGCCGATCTTTTTGCTTTGACATTTAACCCAAGCCATGCCATCGCGCGCTTGCAGTATCACGCGCTCGGTAGCAAAGGAAACAAGCGCGTGCGCGTTAACAGTTATGTAATAGGAAAAGGCTCGTGGTTAAATGAATTAGTCTTGCACTAAATTTAAATCAAATTAAGTACATTTAAATTTTGGATGGTCCACTATGCTTGATACACATTTTTACGGAAATCGTCTGTAAAAAGAATTGAAATAAAAATTTTTCTAATTTGTGCAATAAAACATTGCAGCATTTCATTTTGAAAACAATGTATACAATATTGGCTTATAACTATTGTGTAAAACTTGTAAACATAAACCTATAAGGTCAAGCAAATTAGAAAAGCAAAAAATAGAGAAACATGAGGAAATTGAATTTGAGATATTTTAAAAGTATCAATAAGGGAACTTTTTAATTTTATTTTACTATGTGATTGTAAATAAAGTGCAAAGCATAGGACTGAATTTACTTTTTCTAAAATAAAATTGTTCTATAATACAACCATTTGTAGTATAAAGGTTACCCTTCCAAAATTTTGGCAGGGTCCTCAATTTAATTACTTAAATTCTTGTTTCATAAAAAAATAAAAATAAACTTATCACGGTTTTTATGATTTTATACCTGTATCGATACTCCTAAACCCTAAAAGGTCATGGAGTGCTTGTTGGATGGGGTCTAAACTGCTTTTTGTTGTGATGTGAATTTGTTATATATTTTATATATATTAATTATTGCAAAGGGTTTTTATTTTTACCTCAGTTTTTAAAATTTGTACCATTTTTAAAGAATTTGTATATAGGGTCATTGCTATATTATGTGTATATTGTTTGAATAATTATCCTGTATCGATATCATACCTTTCAAAAGCCTAATGAAGTCCCAGCTTACTTATGGTATTCATTGTATGTGCAAGACTTGAACAAGTAACCATCTTTTTGCAAATGATTGAAGACACCATCAGGCTACATCATTTTTATGTGAAATAGATCTCAATTTATTGTTTTGTGCAAGTGTACTGTAATTGAATGTATCATCTGCAAACGTTTAAGATACGTGCCCCTTAGATCCTGGTTGTACTAGATTGTATGATTACAAACCATTTAGTTTGTACAAGAAGATGTTCTTTCATGGCACATTTTAATTAGTTCTTGTATCCTTTTAGGTTCAACCTTCTTAAATATCGGGGGTTATAACATCACCCAATTTGTTGACTTTTATCAAATGGTTGATTTTATTGGATCTATTTATTAAGAAGCAGTGAAACTAGCGGCATGCAATGAATGGGGACTGGCCATGCCCTTGCAACATTAAAATGTATTGACTGTTACATAATATATGACTAATAGTTATACTTACATCAGCTCAATAACAAATGGATGTCGATGAAGAACCTTCCTCTTCTACTGCAGTTGCGAAATCTGACAAAAAACGATTTGATGTGAAGAAATGGAATGCTGTTGCTCTCTGGGCTTGGGACATAGTAGTGGATAATTGTGCTATTTGCCGTAACCACATCATGGATTTGTGCATTGAATGCCAGGCAAATCAAGCAAGTCACACCAGTGATGAATGTACAGTTGCCTGGGGAGTTTGCAACCATGCCTTTCATTTCCATTGTATCTCACGTTGGTTGAAGACACGACAGGTCTGCCCCCTTGATAACAGAGAATGGGAGTTCCAGAAGTATGGCCGTTAATTCATTCTATGTGGATGGCTTCTTTCAAGATCACCAAACTTTTATAGCAAGGTTTAATGCCTATACAGTCAAGTTTTACTTACGTTTAAGATGATTTGGATCATGTTTGTGGTAGTTTGTCAGGATGGAATTGACTGCTTTAATCGTTGTGAAATTACCTCAAATAGATAGCTTTTGCTGAGGAAATGTGTCTTTGAGTTGTAATTCGTATATCATTACATGTATTTATCGACTATTTAAATGGAATATTTTCCATCTAGCATTTACCAATAACTATTATTATGTCCATATGATATACATATATATATATATATTGTTTCATTATTTATAAATTTTCGAATAAATCTTTAATCCTGGTTTTCTGAAAAGACTGGGTTGTTACTTTGCTTTACTGTACAAAAGTGTTTAACTGGATTACCTCTCCAATTAAAGATTAATTTCAAATTTTATAATGTGGCTGGCATCAAGATTGATAATTTGTTTATGTTTGATTTGAAAATTAATGATAACTAGGGAGTAGCTAAGGATCCATTGGATCTATGCGATCTCCTCGTCTCAGCCGAATGATAGGAAAATTAATTGAGGGTTAAAAGTTAATCTGGAAAAAATGCGCATCTTATCTTAATTTTGTTAACAATTTAATCAGCACTAGATTGAAATCATCAAAGAAGGACCACCTATCCTAATCTTACCAATCTAACAAATATTTTCCAACAAAACTAGCATGTAAGCTCCTGCTGACTGTATATGAAAATACAATCTGAGAGTACATCATGGTCTCCCACTAGTCGAACTACCAATCGTGAGCCTACGAGTGTTTATGTGACTGGAACAGAAACATCTCTTGAGCAACGTTCTGTTGCCACCAGTCGCAATGTTCTCTTACAAGAGGTTATATATTTGAATGAATTCTTAATGATTTATTTATTTCTTTGGGTAATTCCTGCTATTTGCAATTTAAATAACTATTTCTTTCTCAAATCAGTTACCGCCTTTAGCTTCCTCAATATACATTACATACATATTATATAGGTTTAGCAACTTGACACACTACTTTCAACAAATAACAATACATTTTAAATTGAATCTTTATCCAGAGTAAGGGTTGTTGCTCATTAGACAGTGTACTGAAATGTTTGTACAATAAAGCAACAATCAGCAACTTCATCACCCTTCTGATCATGGTCACTGGAATTGTCCTTCATCAAATCTACCAAGATGGTTAGCTAAAATCCATTTTTAGCTTTAATCTTAATTAACAATTAAATGTGTAGTACTAATTGATTGATTGAATATTGCGATTCCAACTATGAAACTATTTGCAGATACAGAAATTGACAACAAATGGGTTGACGCATTCAAATTGATCAGAGCTTTTGGTCTCTTCGGATTTGCAGGTTGGTTGTTATAGTAAAAATAATGTTGGCTAGAATAATTAGAGTGATAGTGGTAGAGTCAAATTTCCAAATGATCGGTTGTGCATACCAAATTATAATAAAAGGCTTGGATTGAAAAAAGTGATCAACTCAATCTTACTTCTAGCCCAGTTTCCGTGATTGCAAACTTAATGATTTAAATCCTTATTCGGTAGATCCCTTGATAGTTAAAATCCAATTAATGTAAATTTATTTATTTTAAAATTCCAGATAATTATGTTTCACAGTAATACAAATGTTTTCATTTCTCAGGGGGAATGACAAACTGGTTGGCAATCAGGATGATGTTCGAAAAAATCCCATTCTTAATCGGCAGGTAAAGTTAATTTGAGGTTGGTTAAGTTGAAATAACTTAAATGACCAATACAACCATTTTTAAGCGAAGCTTTTTCCTCAAACTTGTGTTTTTGAATCACATATAAGTAAAGTCCAGTTGGAAACACATAAAATTGATTCCTGTTATTTGTCAGCAGTTTTCTAACTCAGTTTTCTATTAGCGGTATTTTACTGAATAACTTCGTGGAGATACGAGACAACGTGAAAAAGACGACAATGGCAACGTACTTTGACGCGGGACATCTCAGTCACTACGTTACTCAAAAAACTGAGATCATCCTAAATTCTCTTCAACTTGGTACGTTACGTTTTAACACTTAAAACTGCAGTATGCAACTCATAAGATTTTGATTCCGTCCGTTAACAAAACCGTTATACAATTAAAATTTGGTGAAATATCTGACCTAATTGAAACCTGACTTGACTTTCTGCCAGATGAAAGTATTAGAGAAGTTATTCGGTCCCCTGCAGTACAAGCTCTTATCTCCGATAAAATAGAGGAAGTGTTCTCAACACCTGAGGGCTTGGTTCTAGGCTTGGTTGTAAACAAAGAAAAGGTCAAACTGAACATTATGCCCAGTTTCGAGAATGCAGGAAAAGACATCGTCCCACTTGTTTCTCAGCTCATCAGAAACAGCGAGGTGAATTATCGATTCTAATTCTGTAAATTTATTGATCGAGTTTATACAGTAACTGTCAAACATAGTCTATCACAGCATTAATTAAATTTTATGGTAACAGGCATTAGTATCCGCCAGTAATTTTTAAATTGCAGATTATGAAACAGTTAAACCAGGGATTAAATAGAGATAAAATTTGAAAGGTACAGTATCGTCAAAATATAGAATAAAAATACATCTTCCGTTGCTCAACAAGAAAATTAAGAGAAAACCAACAAAATCAAAACCAACTGTCAATATAGAAAGTCGGAAAATAACATATTTAATACTACCCAACATACTTTGCATTTGAAATAGAATTTTCTCTTGGTAACTTTTACGTTTTTGGAGCGGGGACAAGTTTGTGACTATCATTTGACCAGCATGCAAAAGATAAAGCCGACAGTGTTCACCAGACAAGCTGCAACTGCTACTCCAATAGCAGGAATTTCACTTGCTCTAGTGAGAGTAAAGCCACTGAGAACAACGCCAACAACCTGAGACATGCAAAAGAAAAGGTTGAAAACTGCTGTAGATCGCTCAGCCAAACCATCTGTTTTCACTCCCCACTTTTCGAACAAACTGAATTTGCTCATAACTGCTATGTTTAAAACTGCCGCATCTCCAAACCCCAGAAGCACAGAGCCTATTTCAAAGGAAGCCGGGAACACCAGAAAATCTGTCGTTGACCCAAAAGCTAGAACGGCTCCCAAGTAAAATGCTATATTACCTATAAGCATGACAGTATTTGCCCTTATTTTCCTGTCTGCTATAAATCCAAGGGCTGTACTCGAAAGAAATGCAACAACGATCATCAATGAGCTGAGTAAGACAGCTGTACTCAGTGACTTACCATTGAACTCTTTTATTCTTGGTGGAATAGAATACAGGAGGATAATGTAAACACTGTTATTCAGGAAGACGGCGACATCAGGAACAAAGAAAACCAGTTGTTGACTTCTGCTTGGTTTGTCTTTTAAAATGCGTCCATTTCCGTTCGCTTCATGTTCAGTCGTTGTCGAGAATACTCGATTTGTAGCCGCCCCAGTCTCCACCATTCGTTGTATTCTTCCGATGAATGGGAGGAGTAGGATGGGAATGATATCAAAGATAGCGATAAGAAATCCTGTTAGCATCCATCCTCCCGATATGTATAGTTCGGCGCCAACAATTACTGCTATGATAATCCCTACATGCATCGATCCACTTATGAAAACCATCAATGTCTTCTTATCTGCCAAATACAGATCCACGATCTCTCCCTAAAGTAAATATTATGAAATATCAACATTTTTGTTATAAATTTGCAGTCAGACCTGAAATCCTAATTGAGATGGATCCTTCATTTAATCTGCAACTACATACAATATAGGAATTGGTAATCAAACTCGCCTGTACAGTCACAAAGAAGAGTCCAGCACAGAAACCCTGTAAAGCTCTGCTAACTCCAATAACAGTGAATACAAGCGCTCCTCTTGGGTCCAATTTTACCATTACATCTACTGCAGCCATTACGAAGTAGCACAAAATGTTGCCCGTAATGAGGATTAAACATCTTTTTGTAAGTGGAATCTTTCTGAAGCCAGGGAGGATAGTGGAAATGTAGGGGCTGATAGCTTGGGTGATGACCATTACTACTATAGCTATAGTACCTGTCAGGAGAAAGTAACGGTCAAAACATTTTATATTTTTTCACTGAAACTTTTACAGTATGACTTTGTGTTTAGAGGTCGATTACGAAAATGTTTACGATGCTTACCAAACGTTTTATTCAGGCTATTCTCTGTTAGAAAATCTATGTAAAACCCAGCCGTGTAATTTCTTGCTATGAAAACAGTTCCATTTCCAAAACAGGCAAATATGACAATCAAAGCTAGTTGATGATTTGTTATCTTTTTAGCATCTCCTGGGGGATAATTATCTCATTAAATTCAGTTTACAGCTTAAACCTTACTTTTTAAACAGGAAACGAGTTATATCTACCATATGCACAAATAGAAGCTGAAGTAAAGTTGACAAATTGCATTACTTTAAAAGGTTTACCTTTAGCATCTCCTGCACTTATTCTGTCCGAAGGTTTACTGTTATTAGGTTCCAACTCCAGAGCTCCAACTGCAGCGTTGTTTGCTACTACATAATCATTATTGTCTCCATCCATCATTTCCAGTTATCAACGAAAAAGTAGGTACAGACCACTGCTTTTAAAATCGAAATCACAAAGAAATTTTCGCTGATTGAAGATTAAAAGTGGGCAGATGAAGACACAACAATAAAATCAAGATCAGTGTTTCTCAGTGCCGGCAGTAAAATAGTAAAATAGACTCGGATTCCATGTTCGTAAATTAATTATGTCGCGTGAAATGGATACGTAAAGATCCAGACACTGCAATATAAACAGTGTTAAAATTCACTCATCTAGGAAAATGTACGGGGTGCAAAGATCACAGCATACCGCCAAAGTCATCATTCCTGCGAATTTTGCACTTACAATCATATAGTAAAGATTTTTAATCAAATTAATTACTTACTTTGTTACTTTGTAGGGCTTCATAGAATCCTCTATCGGGCCATCGAAAAAGTCGACCCCCCGGACAGTGTAGAAACTGTTTTATCACCACTCCAATCAAGCAAGGAGTTTCCATTCCGACGGTTGTATCCTGGAGCTGGAGGCTCGTCCGGAAATGACTTCACAAAGTTCGTTAAAGCTACTTTGAATTGCATAGGATCCTCGATGGTGTGCATATGTGTTGGGATTACATTCCATAATCGAGGTCCAGTGACTGCAAATGAGTTGTCATGTAGTGCTTGATTACGTTGACTGCTGGACTTACCTATACTGGGCACAACTGCTTTTTGACCATGTCTGAGAGTCACCGAGAACTGGATACCAATATCATTAGGGCACTTGCAATGCAGAACTTTCCACATGTTGATGATTAAATACCGTTCTCTTCTTCTTTGCAATGACATCAGATCTAGGGCCTTTAATCTCTGCCAGTAGTTGAGGTGCTGGTGCCATCTATTTTCGATGTAAACGTACGCTGAATCCCTTCTAGCTGTTGGATGTCCTTGTTCTTAGAGCAATTCCACAGAGGACAGCAATACTCCAGATGACTTCTAACGAGAGACTTGTACATTGTAATTGATTTCGTATTTTTTGCTTAGTTTCATATACAGCAAAATATGTTTATCATCAGTTCCAAAAGAGATGAGACCCGTATGGCGTATATCTTGATCCATCTGTGTTAGGAAAATCTGAACCACTGGTTCTCGGTATGAAAAAAGGTCTCAATTATTGCTGAATTCCGCCTAGTCGTTGCGGCAAATCGTTCTGTGTGGTATCGGTAAATAGCGAATAGTTCAATTCCCTCAGTTTTAAATAACTTTCAAATTAAAATAGTTTATACATTAACTGTCGACTGTCAAGTATAGTTTATCATAGTACATAATATCATAGGGCCCTTGGCCAAACTGTATAATATATTGTGATTAATTGATGTTTGCATTTTTATGGTATTGACATTACTATCCCCCAGTAATTTTGAAATTCGAGATCATGAAACAGTTAAACCAGTGATCAAATTGAGATAAACTTTGAAAATTACAGTATCATCAAAATATAGAATAAAGAATAAAGATGAACCTTCTGTTGCTTAAAAATAGTAAAACGAAAACCAACAAATCTGTCGTTCAATAGAAAGTCGGGAAATACTACACAACATACATTCGTAATGAGATTTTTGTTAGTCATTCTTACGTTTTTGGAGCGGGGACAAGTTTGTGACTATCATTTGACCAGCATGCACAATATAAAGCCGACAGTATTCACCAGACACGCTGCAACTGCTACTCCAATAGCAGGAATTTCACTTGCTCTAGTGACAGTAAAGCCACTGAGAACAGCGCCAAAAGCCTGAGAAATGCAAAAGAAGAAGTTAAAAACTGCTGTAGATCGCTCAGCCAAACCGTCTGTTTTGATTCCCCACTTTTCGTACATACCAAATTTACTCATAATCGCTATGTTGATAACGGCTGCATCACCGATTCCAACAAGGACAGAACCTATTTCAAAAGAAGCCGGGAAGGCCAAAAACTCTGTCGTAGATCCAAAAGCTAGAATGGCTCCCAAGTAAAATGCTATATTACTAGAAAAAAAATTTGCTATTTTTGTCTGTTATAAAACAGAGTTATTGAAGGAATACAACGACAAAAAATGAGAACGGTGTACCAGGATATTAATCTAACGTTGTTCAGGAAGACTGCGATATCAGGAACAAAGAAAGCCAGTCGTTGAATTGTGCTTAGATTATCTTTTAGATCCCGTCCATTAGCGATTACTTCCACTCTTGTCGACTGTATGTTTTTTAACCCTGCTCCACTCCCCTTCTTTCTTTGTATTCTACCGATGAAAGGAAGCAGCAAGATGAGGAGGACATCAAAAACAGCGATTAGGAATCCAGTCAGCATCCATCCCCCTGCTATGTAAAGTTGTGCCCCGACATTAGTTGATATAATTAACGCTACATGCATCGATCCACTTATGATAACCATCAATATCTTCTTATCTGCCAAATACAGATCACAATCTCCCCCTGGAAGTACTTTGGTAAATATAAAATATAGCACAATTCTTTGCATTGATATTTGAGCAGAGAATTCAATGCATGGTTTTAACATTTAAAAATTATGATGATTTTGATGTTATTACTGACATGTATGTTTAATGTTTATCGAAACTGCACACGATTTGGCGTACATATCATAAACTATTAATATTATGCCATTCATAATTTTGGTGCATAAGTTGTGAATCTCAAAATAAATCCTGGAATGTATGGACATTGTCAGTGAGATACTAGAGAAGGACGGGTCAGCTGATATACTGTATCTCGATTTTCAGAAGGCTTTCGATTCTGTACCACACAAACGATTGCTGAGAAAATTGCAATCCTTTGGAATATCTGGCAACACCCTTGCAGTCG